TTGCTCTGTCTACTCTCCTTAAATAACATCCATGAGACCATGAACATAGATTAAGGGAAGAGTGGCAAGAGTGAATGTGAGCAACTTCCTCAGACAACCTACTTGTGCCTTAGGACTTGCCTGGACCTAATCCCTATATGTCACTTCCTTTTGATGATGGAGTGCTGCCAGCCACCCTTACTGTTATGGCTGGGTAGATCAGAACACTAAGCTTAGGTCACATGGTTACTTGGTATGTCTGCTATGGTCAGGCATCCAATTTCGCCAGATCCCTGGAGTGAGCAAGAGGTTGTTTCTCAGAAGGATTGTTTGCTAAAGGAATGCTTTACTTTGCTCCAAAAGCTAACGCTTTTGGAGTATAAAGGCAAAAGGTAAAACTATTTACTATGCAGCCTGGTCCAGTAAGAAAATGTCAGAAGCTGTCCATGGGCTGGGTGTGTGAACCATTGCGCATAGTAGCCTCTTGAGGGGACAGGCCTGGCACTGCGAACTCCCAGTCAGGGATTGATCACATGATACAGGTGAGCCTCCCCCTCTAGCTCTGCCTAAGATCCCACCCAGCACCTGAGATTGGTGTGACTCACCAACATGTCAGTCAAAGAGATGACATGAGACATCTTCAGCAAGACTCCACCCTTGAAACCTTATCCCTCTCTGACGTCCCTACTATAAAATAAAGGAACAGCAGGCTCACAGATCTCTTTAACCAGCGTTCTCACAGCAGGCTCACAGATCTCTTTAACCAGCGTTCTCTTTCCAGAGTGGAAGCTGACCTTTAAGGTCAAATGTCTGTGTTGTGTGGTTTTTCGCCGCCTTTCTTAGCTTAATGTTGCAGCCAGCCCATTTAAACGCAGTCTGTCTCACCTGTGCAGGTCACAGGCGAGAGTTATCTCCTTGTATGTTCTCCCCACTAAAGTTGGCAGCTTTCAAGTGGTCCAGTAACTGGCCAAAATAATGTAACTAAAATGTTACCTTCCAAGTATAAAGCTGCCCGTGAAGTATATTGTACATCCTTCTTAGAGGTAGGGAATGTGATGTTCAGTACTTGTCTTTCACTTTGTAGAGAATATCTCGACACATCTGCTATGGTTTGAATATGTCCCTCAGGGTTCATGTGTTGGAAGATTTGCCCTTTGGTTATGTTAAGAGGTGGTGAGATATTCAAGAGGTGGAAGCCTAGGGGAAGTTTGCAAGACTGGCTTCTCCCAATTCTCTGTCTTCCTATTGAGGGAGACGTAGAAGGGCGGCTCAGACAGCCAGGGCAAGATGGAGAGTGAGGAGGTCAGGGGCAGGGCCAGAACAAAGGAGCATGGAGAGGGTCTTCTGATGAGGTCAACTTCCTGCTGGACAAAAGTGCTTGTGAACACAAGTAGGGGGACCCAATCAGAAAGACACTTCCATACTTGTGCTCATAAGTGGGGGATCCAATAGAAAAACTAAAACAGATGCATGGGCGGAGGGGACACCAATCAATAACAGAAAGCATGGACAGAGAGGGAGATAAGGAAATGAGGAAATCCCAGCTCTGAGGCCCCTTCTCTTTGGAAAAGTCTGTCTCTGTCACTTTTACAATAAACCTGCTGCTTACTTGCTACCTATGTGTCCTGTTCTTCACTTCTTTGCTGAACAGAGACAACCCAGCATCCCTAGACAATAACACTATCTTTTTTTTAACCTTTATTTATTTATTTATTTTTATGTGGGGCTAAGGATCAAACCCAGGGCCTCACATGTGCTAGGCAAGTGCTCTACCACTGAGCCACAACCCTAGCCCGACAATAACACTATCTTGCCATGTAATCTTTTCATCCTGCATATACTTCTGTATTCGTGGTGCCATTCACCATGAGGCCTTCACCAGAGCTGAGCTGATATTGGCACCATGCCTCTGAACTTTCAGAACTATGAGCTAAATAAGCCTCTTTTCTTTATAAGTTACTGACCTCAGGTATTTCACTATAATAACAGAAAATGAACCAATACAACACCCAAGACTTCTAAATAGTACACTAAGTAGACAGATCCCTGTATGTTGGAAGTCACCCATGAAATATGGGTGAACCCAATCAGCATGGAAGCCAATGGGTAGAAGAGTCTGGTATCTGGGAACTCCCAGCAGCACTCCTGCTGGTGAGACTGCCCAATACATGTGATATTCTACCTAGCTCTGCCAAGTTCAGCACCGCACTGGAGTTGGGTTGACCCACTGGAGCCACACAGACACACAGCCTCTCAGAGATGGGTGTGGCTTGCCAAGACGCCAATCAATCGCAAGATACCATGAAGCAAGACTTCATCACTAAAACACTAGCCCTGCCTTTGATGTACTCTCCCTTAAATAAAAGACTAGAGACATTTTCTAGTTGCTCAGGTTCAGCTCCTATGTGGACTGGACCTATCAGGCACTCTGCTTTCTCTTTATCTAATTCCTGGATCTGTCTCTTACTCCTTTCACTATTTCAGACTTTATTTTTCTCAGGTAGCTCATTATCTCCTGAGCAGGAAACTGCCATGGCAGGATGCTGGTAGCCCCACAATACCTGTATATTTGTGGGATTTATTATCCATCCTCTGGCACACACATCATGCCTCACCAAGTCATCTAGGGAATCTGTTACTTCCTGTTCTTAAGTTCCATCAGGGTGATATCACCAAAGACATGGCAGGTTAGTCATAGAGCCACTGGAATGGTGATTTGGTCAAAAATCCTGGCAAACCAAGTGTATCCAGAGAGTGACATAGCCCAGAAACATATAGTGAAGGTCTACTGCTGCCCCTGTCAGATGAAAGCAGATTATTACTGATGTTTGTTACAGTAGTCCCTCCATACCACATGCTTCACTACCCACAGTTTCAGTTACCCAAAGTCAACTGTGGTCCAGAAATATTAAATGGAAAACTGCAGAAATAAAATTTTAAATTATGAGCGTTCTGAGTAACATGAAATCTTACACCACCCTGCACTGTCTTGCCCAGGATGTGAATCATCCCTTTGTTCAGCATATTCATGCTTTATACACTACCTGCCTGTTAGTCACTTAGTAGGCATTTGGGTTGAGATCTACTGCCATGGTATCACAGTGCTGGTGTTCAAGTCATTCTTATCTTATTTAATAATGGCCCCAAAGCACAGGAGTAGTGATGCTGGCAATTTGATTATAGTATATGGCTATATTATTTCTGTTACTGTACCTAATCTGTACCATTTAATGGGCAATTATTAAACTCCTAGGCCATATCTTTATCATAGGTATGTACATACGTATAGGAAAATATATATATATATATATATAGTGTATATATATATATATATATATATATATATATATATATATATATACATATATACATATATCGAGAGAAAGAGAGAGAGAGTGTGTGTGTGTGTGTGCTCGGTACTATCCACAGTTCAGGTATTCACTGGAGGTCTTGAACTTAATCATAAGGATAAGGGGTTACTGCTCTGTACAAAAATAAGCACTGACTCTGGTTGACTGTTAGAAGTCAATAACTGTGCCAATCTGCTCCAAGAAGGACCATATCTGGAAGAATACCTACAACTTAAGTCCTTACCAGAGTAAGTTTATCACAACATTGTTCTCCCACCCCCTTCCCCCAGTGCTGGGGATTGAATCCAGTGCTTCCTGCATGCTAGGAGAGCACCCTTCTATTGAGCTACATCCCTGACTTCTTCCCTTACATTCTCTAAGGCTTTCTCCCTTCTATATTGGCCAAACTGAAGAAACAATGATGATATGATGAGAATTACTCTATATCTTTCAAATCTTTGGTAGTGGCACTAATTCCTATTATGAGATGATGTACTATTTTTGATTTATGTTATCATAGTTAAGGATACAGGGCTTTCCATTTAGTTCTTCAGGAAGTCAATGTCAGGATTCTGTTCCTGTTGGTGATATCTATAGCAATACTACACATAACCATTTCAGAATGTCACTGGACCAAACATGAGGCAGACAGCACTCAAAACTTTTTTTTTTTTTTAATTTGTACCTTGTATACGTATTATATATTCCCAAGAAATAGGAGGGGGGAAATCCTACTTAAATTAAAAAATTTTAATGTTCCTTTGTGTGCCACTCAAAATCCTTTCTTGCACATACCACTTTTTTGAAACACTGAACAAGCACGTGCCCCAGTCATCTCATTTTTATCACACTGGTTGTAATTATATATTTAACTGTCCACCTTCCACGTCACTCCAGGAGAAGGAGCTGGGTCTGGGTAGCAGTCCTAAGCACACTAGACTGGATTGGATATCCAGTAAACCATGCATTACGAATAAAGATACAGTCAATGCCTTGGTGTCTTTTAGCTCAAGCAGACCACGAGCCCAGGATCTCTGGCTGGATGATGCTCAGCAATCTTTCACAGGCCGGCTTTAGCCTCTAGGTTTCTCCACTGCAAAATGGGAATGATCCCGTACCTGACTCAAGTGCTGCTGGGAGGAGTCAGGAGACGAGTGTGAAAGTATCGTAGCAGAAATTAATTCACTCATCCATTTAACAGACAATTATTAAACTCCTAGGCCCTCGCAGCGCAGCTGCCACAACAATACAAACGTTTCTCCGGCAAGTCGCATCCCTCAAGACCTGTGCGGGGAGGGCTGGGAGCTGAGGTGTCTCACAGGCCGACTTTCCTTCCACCGAACTTAGGGCGTGGACCTTATTAAAAATGGCGCAGAAAGCGTCGGGGACCAGTGCGGCGGCGCAGATTCTAAGTGCCCTCTGACCTCCTGGCAGCGGGCGGAGGGGGAGCCGGGCGCCGCCATATTGGCTGTTGTCCTGTGAGGGGAGCGGCGGCGGCGGCGGCGGCGGCGGCAGCGCGAGTGGGGCGAGGGAGCGGCGCGAGCGGCAGCATGACTCGGAGGCGGAGCAGGCCGAGCGGCGGCGCGGGCCGGCGCGAGCGGGCGCGGGCCGCGGGGCTGCAGAAGCCCCAAGCACCCGAGCCCCCGCCGCCGCCGAGCTTGGAAGCGGGAGTGGGAGCAGGGCCCCCGGAGGCGCCGGTGGAGCCCGACCACGACGGCCCCAGAGAGGAGGACGAGTCCAAGCTGGCGTCCGGCCTGCAGGTAGGAGCGAGCGAGGCGACTCCGGCTGGTCCGGCGCTTTCACCTCCCCGGAGCGGGAGTGGGGCGGGGTTGGGCATGGACCATCCTGCCCGGCTGGGGCTGGAGCCTTCCCCCAAGTCGGGAGTTGAGGCTTTCTCCCCCTGGGGTGGGAGTGGAAGCTGAACCCCTCTCTCCAAAGCCGAGACTTGGCCGGTCCTCCTGTGACCAGGCTGAAGCTGTCCCCTCTCCCGCCGCCTCCGGGCTGGAGCAGAAGCTAAACGTTTTGGCTATACACCCACATTGGACTGGGCTTTGGTCTTGAGGCCACAGCTCAGCTTTCTGCCCTGGCCCACCTGCTCCCCAACCCACCCACAGGCCATCTCAGGGCGCTGGAGTCTGTAAGGCAGCCTCTTGCTTGTTCCCCTGCACTGCCTTTAGCCGCTGCCCCTCAGCAGCTGTGCCCCCAGCATCAGTCTCCAGGGACTCCCTCCTCTCCCTGCCCAGCAAGGCAGTTGGAGCAGCCAGCCAGGCTGTCCGGTGGGGCTCCTGACCTGAAGTGGAAACCCAGAAAAACTTGCTCTTTCTCCCCTCTATACTCACGTCCCACAAGGCGTCCCTCGCCCCACCCCTCAGATCCCTGGTTTGGCGAATCCTGCTGAGAGTGAGCAGTAGGAGGATTCTCGAAAGCTTCCAGCTTGCCACCTGGCAGAAGGTCACTTTCTTTTGAGCAGAGGAGATAATAGGAGGTACCCTGCCAGTGTTCACTGAGAGGCGGGGGTGGCAGGGGCCACAGTTGCTCTGGGAGGGTTGTGGTACCTGGGGCTGGGTGGCTCGCCCTAAGCTTGCTCTGACAAAAGAGTTTTGAGTTGGTCTTTTGACTGAGCCTGCCAAGGAAGGCAGGCCCCTGCAGGAGTCTTGGAGGGTCGGATGCAGCGCCGGATGAGGATGAGGCGTGGCAGAAGATGCGTTTGGCTCTGCAGACACTGCATCGGGCAGCAGGGGACTCTGGGAGGCTGGTGCAGCCAGAAGGCATGGCTCTTGACAGCCTTCTAGTAGAATCTCTGGAATTGTGCATGTGAGTGGGGATGCCATTTGGGGTACTATTCCCAGAAAGCCTTCCCTGATCTCCCCAGTTGCGTCAGGTGCCCCCTCTGTGCCCACAGTCCTCTGTGCTTCCCTCTGGTAGCACTCCCCATTATGTGATGAAATGTTATGTTGATCTGTCTATTCCCTGCACTGGACTGTGAACTCCACAGGAATCCAGACCATGTCATATATCTGATCTTCCATGCCTAGGCCAAGGCCTTGTCGACACAAAGATGAACTAACTAGGTAAATAAGAGAAAGAATGAATCAGCCCAGAACCTGTGCTTATTGTAACCTAGTTTTGGTGCTGTCTCCTTTGTATCTCAGATCACAGTGAGATTTTTAATTAATGAAGCTGTCATTGCTTATTGAGTATCTGAAGCCCTACCTTCATCCCCACCTCCTACCCTCAGCTGACTCCAGTTCCAGAGGAAACTCCCTGGGTTGGACTTGGAGACCTCCTGGGTCTGACTTCCAACCCTGAGTCTGCTTTTTCCTCTAATCTATTCTGGACCCCCTTTGGCAGTGCTGTTATCCAAAAAGGAGAGTGGAAAAGGAGAGAGCCTGACTGATGTCTGTCATCTTCTCTCCTTCCCATTCAGATCATACAGTACTTTAGGGTCCCTGACATGTAGAGGAGCCGAAAAACTTGATAATGGCTTAACCATTCAGTTTTATTGAGGACACAATTTTCCCAAGGGCTATAAGCTTTGTTAACTCTTCTGATATCTAGGTCTACCATGTTCTTATATTTGTGACCTGTCAATTCATTCATTTATTCTAATAGGCACCTGACATACCTTGCTCCTGATCTTCCCACTTCCCCTGTATTTCTCCAGAGCATTTAGTACAAATATGATGGGTTAACTATGGTGTAATTATTTGTCTACTTTTATATATAAACTAAGATTGCAAAAACCAACTCAGTCACCATCATACCCCATGCCCATTGATTAACAAATGTTAATGAACAAACTGAATGGGATATATTTATATATTTACCCTGTTTTTCAGATGAAGAAATAGAAACCCAAATAAATATTTTCCCAAGACTGATGATGTAGCTCAGTGGCAGAGTGCTTACCTAGCATGTGCAAGGTGCTGGATTCAATCCCCAGTACCACAAAAAAATAAACTAAAATTGCCCAAATGACTTCCACTATAAGTATGAAGCCAAAAAAATTCACTCTTGTATTTTGGGGAATTTTTAATAGCCACAGAAATGAAACACATTGACAAACTGTGTTCTGATTGTGCTCCACTTATTTGCTGGAGGTAGAATCTGGATTCAAAAACAGGCTTTTGTGCGCTGGTGAAAAGTACTAGTGAGAGGGTGGGGGATCAATCATTGTTCTGTCCACAGGCATGCCTTTGGTGAGGATTTCTGGCTCCCACCCCAACTTGAACATAGACTGGATAAGGAAGGTCAAACTTATGTCATATGGCAACCCCAGTCCAAAAGCAGCAAATAAGACCACTCCCAGTCCACACTTTTTTTTTAATCTGTTTTTATCTTAATGTGAACTAGTATTTTTAAAAAATCAAGAAGTTTCCCACAAATCTGAATTCTTGCTTCTCAAAACTAAGACTATGGTGATACCAGGCCCACATCTCCACGAGATAGTAATCTGTCTGAGTAGCACTGCTGCCTTTATGTGGCATGTGCTCTTTATGCCTCTCTGCTTCTTTCTAGGACTCTTCACTCATTTGCATAACTGGTACACATTTAAATGTAAGACCTCAAGGTTAATTGAAATCCCAAAAGTCCTTCCAATTTTTTCAGGCCTCTAAACCACATTGATCTGATCCTTAAGAGCATAAATCCTTTTACTTCACGAGCAAACTAAAACAGGTACTGCCTATTAGCAAAGGGAAAAAAACACACAAAACTTAAAAACAGTTGAAGGAGACTATGGGGAATAGTGTTTACCAACTTGAGCTCTGCCTTCTGCTTTGTGATTCTGAGACCATTTTTTCTCTCTTTGAGCCTCATCAGTGATTGCACAAGAGAATACGAAGCAGCATGCAGAGCACCTAGTACATAGAGATTCCTCTGAGGTGGCAGGAACTGTGCCTACCAGCCAGACAAAGCCTAAATATCCTCTCTTGCTAGAACTACTAGCTGTCTTTGGTCTCTCTTAGACTACTCAGCTGTATTCCAGGTGTATACTCAGCCCCCAGGAGACTTGCTAGAATGTAAACCAGCAATGAGGGGGGTGGGTTAAGCTCATGCTGTTCTTCCACCCCTCATGTACCTCTTCAATGCTGATCTCTTTACAGTGTCCCCTGAGACTTTGTCCAGTTTAATTTTAAGGGACTCTAGAGACCCAGTTCTCCTTCTGCTCAGAGGAAACTTGTTTCCTCAGGAATTGGAGCAGATGATTAGTTGGTCTCTATTAAAACCATCTCGCGTTTAATTCACTCAGTAAGCTCTCTGCAACAGGTTCTTTATCTGGGATTCACAGAAGGATGAGATAGTCCCTACCCTTAGGGACCTCCTGCTTAGAATCCCACCCTGCCCTGAACCACTTCCATACTAGTGGGAGGAAGTAATACTGAGGAGGCAGCCCTGCCACACAATGGTTCTTTATAAGCCAGTAGAGACTTGCCATGTAAAAATGCCATCAGTCTTTGAAGATGAAGACTTAACCGCCCAGGTTAATTTCCCTAAAATGTCCCAGAGTAATAAGTTTAATTATCAGATGGATACTTAAAATTCTAACACCTTTCCTTATTGTACCTAGAATTTTTCAGAGCACGGACAGTATTAATTCATCTTTGTGGTATTGTGTATGGTCTTTACAGGTCTGTTAAACTAAATTATAATTTAAAAATCAGGTTTCTATGACTTTGTTCTTAACCCCCGTCCCCTCACTGGGCCATACTGACAGTCACTCATTCATTTAATTCAGCCTTGATAAATATGCTGTGATGCCCAATTATCCTCTCTTCTGGTGTTTATTCTGCAGACACTAACTGACCCCTGTTTTGTACCAGGCCCTGAACTAGCTGTAAAGGCAGAAGTAAATGAGACATGGTTCTTGCCCACAAGGGGCTCATGGTCTACAGACCGTGTATATAGTAATTGCAGTAATGCTAGAAGAATGTATTGTATCAGCTTCCTCTGAGTAAAGGTTTAAATCATATCCTCGTAAACCACATCCTCATAACTGGCCTTTGAAAGTGTTTCAGTCAGCCTCTTGGTTTGTTTTCTCATGTTTGAAATGACAGTGAGTTCAGGCTCGCAGGGTTAATGTTAGGGTTCTGTCAAGCACTTCGCACAAATGGTAGCTATGGTTATTGTAGATGCTTGGTGCTGAGAATGCCCAAGACATGATAGCCCAGAGGTTGGATCAGAAAGGGCTTCTCAGAGCCTAATTTTCACAGTTGAGAAGAAGTTCTCCAGAAAGCAGAGTGGGAGAAGGAGGTCTAAAGAAGGAAAGGAGCACATACAAAGAGCCACAAACGAGCACTGACCGACTCATGGGTGAGCCTGGAGAGATCAGGCTGCAGAAGTTAGCAGGGCTCTTGTTTCACCACACCAAGTAGTTTGGTCAGTGAGGAATCAATGAAAGGTTTTAAGTAGGAAGTTGATCAGCATGTGCCTCAGTAAATCCTCTCTGATAACATGTGAAGAAGTAATTCTCAGTGGGAGAGGTACTGTGATTGCTTGATTCCACAGCTTCCTCACCCCTGCCTAACTAATCATTGGATCCCCTGTACTTTTTTGGACCCTATCCCAGACCTACAAAACCAGAGTCTCCAGGTCTAGAATCCAGGAATCTATTGTTGTTAGAGTGCCCTAGGTATTCTGAATGTGGCTGGGTCTAGGAACTGCTGAATTGAGGAGGCCTAGGGTTTTGTTTAAAGAATGAGGCCACCCAGGGAGGAACTTTTTCATAAGCAGGAATAGAAACAGTTTTAGTTTTTTTAAAAAAAGAGAAGCCTTCCCCCACTTCTCCAGTTGTTGCCCTATTAATGATATTCAACTGCTAATTTCCCATAGCATATCAAAATGCTTACCTATGTTTGTGATGTTCTATAGCCTCTGCTAAATGACTGGAATATAGTGTCTCTTGGGACAAGGCTCTGCCCTTGGAAATCACACAGTATTGTAGAGAAGATAAATTTCAACTACTAGGTTATTGTGATCAGCTTTTTTCTAGAAAGATACAAAAAAGCATTAGCTCATCCCAGGGTGAATCCCAATTCATTCTTCCTGTGGACTTAGGATGTGACACCTAAACTGAGGCAGGGGGTACAGCAGGTGTGACTGCATTACAGATTTGGAAAAAAGGAATGTTTAATGGTCCTTCTTGGCAGGATGTGTAGAAGCAGAAAATTCTGAGCAGAGGCATACTTGTGTCCCAGGAAGGTCCTGCATTTGTGTCCTTTGGTTCTGTGCCCATGCTACCACCCTCATTCTTCAAACTCTAGGCAGCAACCAGCTGAGTAGCTGCATGCAGCATGGAGAAGAACATGTGCCGTCCTAATGGCCATCTCCCCTTTATACTCTACCCAATACTCTTGGCGCCCTTTGTGATTTTCCCCCTTCATTCTGAAATGAGTAGATACCTCTATTTTGAAAAGTGATGTGGGGAAACTAAAACAGAAAGAAGGGGCTAGAGGGACGACAAACACTGAAGGTTCTTATTAGGAAATTACAGCCATGTTATATAACATGGACTGGGGGTTCAAAGAGTTCTTGAAGGTTACTTGTCTAGTCCTCCATCCTGTACTTCAAGTAATAAATTTGGTTTGGGCAAGTCTCACTTAGTAAGTTTCCCTGTCATTTCTTCCAGGGCAGAAGAGGAAAGAAACTAACGGGTATTGAGCACCTACTGTGTGCCAGGCCCAGGCCAGGTACTTTACATAATTTATTTCCTTCTGTCCTCACAACTCTGTGAAGTATGGTGTTATTCCCATTTCATAAATTGAGGGACCCAAGGCTCAAAGACATTCCAAGATCATACTGAAAATGACAGAACTAGAATTTGAACTCACAACTGTGTCTCCAAAGTTCATGCTCTTTGCCCCATGAGAAACTTGGGCTGGGTTTAGAATAGGAAAGTGGCAGTTGGCCCAAGGATCCAGGTAAATCAGCAGCTTGGTTCTTTCTTGTGGCTACTTGTACCCAAGAAGAAAATTCAATAAGGTAGTAATAGAGGTAGAGGGTCACGAGGGTCATATAACCTCATTGTCCTACCCTCAACTCAGCTTGTACAACCAGATTATATTTTCCACCAGCTGTCTTTATAATAATGAAAGCCTGTTCTACCTCCTAGAAGGGCTACAACCTGAGTGGGAGTTTGAGTAAAAGTTCCAGGCCACTGAGGTGGGGTTGGAATGGCTCCCTGAGAATTAACTGCAGCTCTGATTGCCAGCATTGGATTGGCCTGAGATTCTTATCTTTGATTACCCCCTCATTAGAGAATCCTAGTGGTGTAGCCATGCCTTCAGCATAGCATGCTGGGAAAGGGGCTTCTTTGTGTCAAGCAGCTGAGACATGAGCCAGAGGGGTTTTAAGTTTTCGTATATTCAGTGGATATCTGCATAAAAATTAGACATTCCTTCAAGTAAAAATGGTGCTCCATGAAAAAGTGGTTTTCCCTTTGATGTTCTGTTTATCCAGGAAAAACTAGATTGTCCTAACTTAATGTGCTAGGTTCAAGCCAAGCCTAAGTTTCTGGACCTTCGTAAGTGACCAAGATCCACTCCCTGCCTCCAAAGAGCTCAAATTCTTCTAGGCATTTGGTGATAGAGAATATAGGTACTACACTGAAAGAATTAGTTCTCCTTATCCTGGTTCAGCAAAAATGTTCATTGGCTTTAACTAGGATCTTAAGGGATGCTAGGGAAGTTGCCAGAAAGGAGTAACACAATGGTTGACATGAGATACCAGCTCTGAGGAACCTTTGTTGAAGTAATGAATAGAAGAGTGAGCAACAGTAACTGGCCTGGTGAGTTTTTCTAGGTTAGGTAATAATCATTTTCTCTTCTTCTCAAAGGGAATTTTAGGTACTATTATTGTCCTCTGCCTGTCTTAGTGACAGGGAGACTTTTGGAGTTTGGTGCCTTGAGAGGAGAGTGCTCTCGTGGGCTGTTTCAGAATAGATTTTGGAACTTGTTGCAGAGTAGCTGGTTAGATACAGTATGTGTCTTGGGGAAAACCTGTGCAAACATACTAACACTTGGGACTAAAGGAAACCCCATGGGAGGAATGAGACCAGGTTCAATGCTGGAAATTTGATACAGCTTCAGAGCAATCCTTGGCAGTTGCCTGGTCTGGTAACCCAGATTATTCCCTGACACTTCCCAAATTGTGGACAGAAAAACCAAGGTGAAAACTTCAATCATGCCCCCAAAGAGCTATCCAGATATGCCATGAACTATATCATTATTAATAATCACTGTTGCCTGACTTATACCCACTATGTGACAAGCCAGAGAGGCTTTGCATCAGCAATTCTCAAAGTACTGGTCACAGGATCCCTTTACGTTCCTAAAAATTATTGAAAGCCTCAAAGAGCTTTTGTTTATGTTGGTTATATTCATATTTGCCAAGTTAATTATTAAAGCTGTGAAAGTGTAAAAAATATTTAGTCAACATTCATTTAAGATTAACATGGACCAAGAATGGTGGCGTGTGCCTAAAATTTCAGCAACTCTGTAATCCCAGTAATTTGTGAGGCTGAGACAGGAAGATCACAAGTTCAGGGCCAATCTGGGCAATTTAGTGAGACTCTGTCTCAAAATAAAAATATAAAATGGGCTGGGAATGTGACTCAGTGGTAGAGCGCCCTGCATTCAATCCCTAACACATGCGCGCGCGTGCGCGCGCGCACACACACACACACACACACACACACAAAGAATGCTCGTTTTCATTTTTGCAAACTTCTTTATTAGAGTAAAGCCAGTTCCTCATATATGCTTCTGTATCAACTATTGTAGTATGTTGTTTTCTTTGAAGTATGTGAAAAAATCCAGCCTCACATGGATATATGGTTAGAAAGTGTGGGATGTCTTAGTGGCCTTTCCAGTTAATTGTAGACATTTTTTGCAGTATGGAATCTGACACCACTATCTGAAATCTTTGTACCCGTTTATGTTAAAATTCATTGTCTGTCTGACACTTGGAATGAATATTTTACCAATGGATAATTCTGTAATCTCATGCTTTTGATCATTTGGAAAATAGATTCATTGAGTTTTGCAGATCTTCCAAATGTTTTTGTTTCATTTTATAATACCAAAAGATAACTTTTGTTAATGTCATCACTGATTTCCTCAGAAAAGTCTTGGGAAGCCGTCAACCTCATAGTGATGGATACAAGTTTTCCCAAATTCTAATTTTTGCTTTAAAGCTTGAATTTTATCATTGACCACAAATACTGCCAGTTGTTTTCCTTGAAGTGATAAACTCACTTTGTTCATTTGTTCATTTTTTTAAGAAAATGTCTGCCAGTATCTATATCTGCATAACAAATTAGTCATTCCTTCAAGTAAAAATGGTGCTCTATGAAAAAATAGTTTTCCCTTTGATGTTCTATTTATCCAGGAAAAACTAGATTGTCCTAACTTAATGCTTCTCAGGCCAAGGCAGAAAAGTCTGGGCCTGGTCAGGTAAGGGAGCAGAGATAATGGTTTTAATGACTGCAGATGCCAGGCTCCTGGACCTTGCAATTGCCTCAATCTAGAGTTCACCTGGCTCCTTCACTGCTCAGGGGATGGGCATTCTACAGCATGGATCTCTTGTGAATTATCTTACTCTCTACAGAGATTTTGGTTTTGTTCAGTGAATCAGAATTATCTTGAAACCTTTTTAAACAGATCCAAAATTACTAGAATCCCTAGAACTTTTCCCCTTCCCCATCTTTGCTAAAGCTAAAACTGTACTCCCCAGAGACTCTGAAATTTAATCCAAGAAGAGCAGGAACTATTACAGGGCTGTTGGTTTTAAAATCATTTCCAGGTTGGGAACACAGCTCAGCAGTGAAGTAGTTGTCTAGCATGCACTAGGCTCTGGGTTCTATCCCAAAAGCCACCAAAAAAAAAAAGAGGAGAAGAAGGAGGAAGAAAGGTTTAATTCATCAGCCTTTTTGATGAAGAAAAATGTGGATTCATTCGATGAACATTTATTGACAAGATTCAGTTTCTTTGTGTGTGGAATACTGTCCCAGGTGATAAAAATACATCTTGAGACCAGTGAATTAAAAGCCTGGGTTGAATGATTCTTCAAGGCATAAGGGGTCATGACTGCCAGAATTTGAAAAATGGCTGGAGATTGCAGTCAAAGGGAACCCTGAACAAAGAACTTTTCTTTCCAAAGCAAAAATGTGAAGGAACACAGCTACTCATAAGGCTCAGGCAAAAAATTGCAAGTTCAAGGCCACTCTGGGCAACTTAAAAGAAGACTCTGTCTCAAAAATAAAGTAAAAAGAGCTGGGGGTATAGCACAGTGGTAGAGCACTCATGTGTGAGGCCCTGGGTTCGATCCCCAGGACTTCCTCACCCCTCACAACTTTTTTTTTTTTTTAAAGGAACAGTCATATTACTGATTGAATGTAACATCTCCAGGGTTTGGAATCCTCACTAACCCCGGCAAATACACTGATAGATGAAGCTGTCAGAAAAGTTACAGCTCCACAGTGCATTCGTTGTACCCAGAAGGAGCCACTCAGGGCCTAGGTTTAAGGGTTGGCCCCTCTGAACGGCCTGGACCTGAAAGCAGGACTTTATTTGCTGAACTCGGGAGAGTGGGCAAGTTAATTTCTAGTGTAAATTTAATCAGAACAAAACAGCCAAGGGGTGCTGATAATGAAATGATTACTTACTCCCTTGGATCCCTGGAGCTAAGTGCTTTGTATCTCTAATGTCACTTAGTCCTCTGGGCAACTTTAGGCAATACAGGTGGTATCCTTACTTCACTTAGAGCTTAATTAGCTTTCTAGGCCCTGTGTTTCTTCCTTTACCTGTGAAGACAGCCTGTCCTATAAAGTGACTTCTATTGATTGCTGATTCACTTATTTTGTGTACCAGTTTGTCTCGAGAGATTTACATCATTTCCATTAACTGGGGGCATTTCATTAATGTCCATTAACTGGGTAGAATCCCTGAAGAATACGCTACTTTTTCACTCTAGAAATTGGAACCATTTGGGTAGAGATACAGGGTTGGAGAGATGTGGGCCTTTTTCTGCTGGAAACAGTAATTTCAAGCACCATCTCACTAAGCTTCTTGGTAGCTCTATTGTCATAGGGACACCTCACAAATCTGATTGAACTAGTATATGCCCAGCTGAGGTGTGCTCTGAGCCAGGCCCTATGATGCACTAAGTATCCTGACAGGAATCAGACCTGGTGCCTATGCCTGGTAGAAGGAACAGAAGATACAGGTAAATAAAACAGAAGGCCCTAGTGTGACCAAGGCACAGTATGCTAGAGGAGTGTGGGGGAGGAGAAATGAATTGCAAATGGGACTCTCCAGAAATGCCTAGTGGAGGCTGGATTTAAGTTGGGCCTTTCAGCCCTGCCTAAGTATTCATTGGGAAACACTGGAAGGAAAAGCTTTTTAAGCAAAGGATCCATTTTAGCAAAGTTATAAGGTAGGAAAGTACATAGAATATCTGGGAAATTTAAGGATGACTTCATGAGGACGAGGTCAGAGATTAAAATATTTTCTGACAAGTCACCTTACATTCATCCAATATGAGAAATTCTCACACTCCATAAAAAACAGTGATCATTTTTTGTTTCCCATTGTTGCCATCATGTAAATGATTAGTGCCGTATGTTGAGCAGAATATTATTACATGTCTACCACTAGACTATCACATTTATTTCTCAGCTAATCCTGCAAATTAGGACTTAATCTCATTTTACAAATGAGTATACATAAAGGATAAGTAGAATTTAAAGTGATGGTAGCCCAGGATTAATGCCACAGCTATTGTTTTTTTTACTACACCCCAGCGCCTCCCACAAGTACTTAGGCACTAAGTACAATCACAATGGTCACACACTTCACTTTTGAAAATTATGTTTGCTTTTAAAAGAAAATAAAGGAAACAATTTTTTGTATATTGCCTTAAACATTCATTTTACCTGTGAATTCTTGGACATACCTACAAAACCATATATATTGTGTTTGACAGGCCATATAAAAAATTTCAGGGGTCTGGGGTTGTGGCTCAGTGGTTGTGGCTCAGTGGTAGAGCACTTGCCGGGCATGTGTGAGGTCCTGGGTTCAAATATCAGCACCGCATATAAATAAATAAAATAAAGGTCCATCTGCAACTAAAGTTATTAAAAAAAAAAAAGAATTTCAGGACATGGATGTAGCTCAGTGGTAGTGTAGCACACTTGCCTAGCGGGTACAAGACCCCAGGGTTCAATCCCTAGTACTAAAAAAATAAAAAATCAAATGCATGAATTCAATAACCAGCACCCCCATTCCCCTTTCATAAAAAAGAATTTCAAGACTAATTTTACTCATACAAGTATTATTTTCATCTTTACATGACTTTAGAATCTAACATGCAAACGAAATGAGACTATTGTAAAATTCCTGTCCTTGTTTTTGCCTTGATATAGTTGCTATAATTACAGGGAAAGAGACATGCACCTTAGCCCCCACCCTTCCACCCAGAGTTACTATAGCATCTTGCAGCTGTGGAAAATATCCTGAGTACAGTTCTCAAAAAGGCTTCCTTGGCCCTAATTTCTCTAAATACCATCAGCTTTCCACCTTTTCATGAGATACTTACCACCAATAGGTCCATTTTGCAGCTTAACACTGAATAACTGCCTTTCTCTTTTAGATGTTCCTTTGGCAGAGTCTATTTAGGCAGTATCTTTTATGAATTCCACATGTAAAATTTCTGTCTCTGGTATTCCTCCCAATTCCATGTACTTCCCTAAATGTTTCATTATATTCCTGGTACTACAGTTTGAATTCTTTCTTTTTTGAGAAACCACAGACACAGGTTAGTGTAATTGTAACAGATTTAAAGATACCCTGATGCCAACTCATAGGCAGTTTTATTAGAGACAGATGATGGCATTTGTTTCATTGGTAGGATGAGGGTGATGCCCTCTGCAAACACAATACTTAGTGGAGGGTAAGTTTGGAAAGTATATTTGTTATTTTTTCTGTTACAAACCACCCCAAGACCTAATGGCTTAAAATAACACTTATTTCTCCTGAGTCTACTGCCTGCCTGGGTGTTTCTGCTGATCTGGACAGGTCTGGCTGATCTTAGCTGGGCTTGCTCACATATATCTGATCAGTTGGCTGATTAGCCAGCAAGACTGTTTTCTCTACACGTCATACATCTCTGCAGCCACTCTCACATCCTAGGCAGCCAGCCTGGTAATGCCTTGGAGTGTGGCAGAGGTGCATGAGTAAGCAAGCCCGGCAATGCAAGGAAAAACACATACACACTTATGCTGACAGCATCTTTGCTAACATACCATTGGCCAAAGAAAGTGACATGGCCAAGCCCATGGGAGGGGACTACAAAGTTACAGAATATAGAAAAGCTATTAATCGGGGCCAAAATGCAATTAGTCTTTCAGTTAGGTCCCCTCTATGTGAAACTTTCAGACTTAGATTACTTGATCAAGTTTTTCTAGAAGGGGAATAAAAAGGCCAAGTAATGGTTGTGTATTGGGCCTATGGGCCTGCACAGGGCTAGGCACTTTACCTGCTTTTGCAACAACCCTCACAACAATTCTGCAAGGTAGGTAGGAATTAAAGTTCAGAGAAGTTAAATAACTTGCTCGAGGTCATCCTCCTAGTGGGCAGGAATTAGAATGCATGTCCATCTGACCCCAAAATCCAGGTTCTATGTATCATCATCACTGCCTCTCAAGAGTACCATGGTTGAGCCAGGCAAAGTGCACATTCCTGTAATCCCAGCAGCTCAGGAGGCTGGTGCAGGAGGATCAAAGTCAGCCTCAGCAACTTAGTGAGACCCTGTCTCAAAATAAAAAATACAAAGGACTAGGGATGTGGCTCAGTGATTATGTGTCCCTGGGTTCAATCCCTGGTACTGCCCCCAAAAAAGGAAGTAAGTTCCAGGGTCTGCCTTAACCTCCCTGCCAACATAAATTTTCAGTTGAGTTGATGCTTTCTGACAAGTTCTACAAACCCCTTCTCTAAAATGTTGCTGTGATCCTAAAGGAATTGTGCGACTCTCCTGAAAACCCACACATTCTCCCAAGTTCTCTGTCGACTTAAAGCATGCTTTCCTTCCAGATGAGGATTGGTCTGTAGGCTGCACAGGCATCCCCAGAATTGTGACCTCTCCTGAACATGCCAGAGAGAGAAGGGCTGTCTTTAACCTTTGAAATTCAGGGACATCAGGGTATTAGAACATTTGAGCATGAGCTTTGGAGTCAGATTCCCTGAAGTTCAACCACTCATTAGCTCTGTAACCTTGGGCAACTCATTTAACTTCTTAAAATATATTTCTTCATTTAAAAGGGGGGAAAATGGGAGTAAGAACACCTCGTTTGCAGAGCTGTTATAAGGACTAAATCTAAATTATGTCTATAAAGTGCCTAACACTGTGCCTGGTATGTAATAAGTGGCATTATTAGTACTGTTAGTATTATTTCTAAGGAGAGTCTTTCCCCTCCTGGGAAACCCTGTATCTGTCTGTTGTGCAGGTCTCCCTTACCTCCAGCCAGTCTGTGCAGACTTGCTGCCTGCTATGTCACCGTGAACGGAAAGGCTGGGAAGAAGGCCCTTCACAAAATGGACTGGTGTTGCAGGGTGAGAAGCTTCCCCCTGACTTCATGCCAAAGCTCGTCAAGAATCTCCTAGGCGAGATGCCTCTGTGGGTCTGCCAGAGTTGCCGGAAAAGCATGGAGGAAGATGAAAGACAGACAGGTCGAGAACATGCAGTGGCAGTAAGTAACCACTAAAAGGGGGTTCCTGAATGCAGAGCAGCCACCTCCCCAGAGACATCAGGTGTTCCTTCCCTGTATTCAGGTGGCTCTACTTGGGCCTTCCCCAGGCCCAGGCACTGAGAGACTACTGGGTTACCTTGATACAGTTTTTGTGGCTCAGGTTCAGATTTGGGGGAAGAGACAGGTTTCAGGTATCCCACCAGCCCCTCAACATAGCACATACACAAGATAAGGATAAGGACCTGCACATAAGTGCCAGTAGATCACGATCCTACTCCTTCACGTGACCCTGATTTCTTCAGCTCTGTTGCAGTTTGAAAGTCAACCAGTATGATGACACAGAGGGTAAAGGTCAGTTTGGGGGTCTAAAATGTGCCTTTGAAGCCTTCCAAGATAGCTAGGAACCATGGAAGTCTGCCATCCCATGAATCATGGTGGCCAGACTCTCCTCATTTCTCATTCCCCTCCACACTCTTTGACCCGGGATCCATTAAGTTTCAGGACTCCTGGCTTAAAGACCCTTTCTCTTGATAGCAGCCTCTCACCACTCTACATAACTGGAAGCACCACAGCCCTCACTTAGCAAAGGCGAGCCCTTGCTTATGCTTGTTGCCAGAGTTGTCCTGATTGTGTTTTGACAATGACACAGAGGCCTGGGGGAGAAAGGAATGCCTTTGATATACACTGAGGCAACAGAGGGTCTGCTCTGCTGTTTGATCGTGTGCCTTTTTCTTCCTGTTTTCCAGATCTCCTTGTCACACACGTCCTGCAAATCACAATCTTGTGGAGGTGATTCTCATTCTTCCTCGTCCTCTTCTTCATCATCCTCATCTTCCTCCTCCTCTTCCTGCCATGGGAACTCAGGGGACTGGGATCCCAGCTCGTTCCTGTCTGCGCACAAGCTCTCGGGCCTCTGGAACTCCCCGCACTCCAGTGGTGCTGTGCCAGGCAGCTCACTTGGGAGTCCTCCTGCCATCCCTGGTGAGTTCTTCCAGCTCAGCAGAGAGCCAGGCCCCCTCAACACAGACAGCTATATTTTCCTATCCGCTTTATTTAATAAATCAGAGGATTGTTTATTAAAATAAGTAAAAATAGAGCTGTTCTCATGGTAGAAGGGACAACTTAGACCTTCTGTCTCTGTGAAACACCTTTCCCATGACTCTAAAGTTGAAAAATACTGCTAGTAGAAGAAAATTGCTCTCAAAGCTATCATTGATTCTGATAGCTGTTCATATTGAATCCAGGATGGGACCTCAAATGGTGAGGACCATTTGAGGAGTAAATGGAGTAGGGGGGCTCTTAAGGTAGTAGGACTTAAGTCTCATAACACCTGCCCTGCAGCACCACAGAAAACCTGGGCTTCCTCCACTCCTGGGCCTCGTTTCCTTCACTTGAGAGATGGCTATAAAAGCACTGCGCTTACGTCCATAAGAGATTGGCCATACACGCTGCCGTGCTTATTATAGTCAGCAGCTTCTATTTTTAGACTAGGATAATGCTCTGAGACCCAAAAAGAAGAATCTTGAGTTATTGATTTATTATATAAACATGATTTACTGTCATATTGCTATATGGAGGGCAGAACTCTTCAAAATGGTGCCACCCGCAGGAATCAGGCATCCCCTGATTACTTGGTTTCAGAGCCTCAGCTTGTTGCAGGCATGCCTGTCCCAGGTCTGAGGAAAGCCTTTGAATAAGCAGTTCTTGGACAGATTAAACACACATCCTCCTTTCATGCTTATGCACAGTAGAGATGTGTGACCCTCTCTGGGGCCAACATTCCCAGTACCTTTTCCTTTGGGCTTGGGTTCCTAAATCCTATCCAGCTGAGCTGCTGCCCATATAGAATCTTCTCTAGCTCCTGTACTGAGAGGCTATGCCCTCTGGTAACAATAAGCAGGATGCTGTGGCAGTGAGCTCATGGGCTTTTTCCCAAAAGTCTGACCCCTCTCTTCCCCCTCTACCCGCAGGTGAGGCTTTCCCTGTTTCGGAGCACCACCAGCACACAGACCTCACTGCTCCCCCTAACAGCCCCACTGGCCACCACCCCCAGCCAGCATCTCTGATCCCTTCTCACCCCAGTTCCCTTGGCTCCCCACCCCACCCACACTTGCTGCCCACCACCCCAGCAGCACCTTTCCCTGCCCAGGCTTCAGAGTGCCCTGTGGCTGCTGCTGCTGTCCCCCATCTCCCAGGGCCATGTCAGAGCCCCCACGTACCCTCCACCAGCATGCCACTCCTGAAGATGCCTCCACCATTCTCGGGGTGCAGCCACCCCTGCAGTGGGCACTGCAGTGGGCATTGCAGCGGGCCTCTCCTCCCACCACCAGGCTCTCAGCCACTCCCTAGCACTCACAGGTAAGTAAACTGTGTGAAGACCACACTCCCTGCTCACTGGAACTCAAAAGAGTTTTGGAAAACTTTACCAAGGGTACCTTTGGAGTAGAAATTAAAAGGTAAATTGAAGTGGATAGTAGCTCAGTGGTAGAGTGTATGCTTGGCATGAACAAGACCCTGGGTTTAAGCCCCAGAGATGTGTGTACGTACATAGTAGTTGCTCTTTTTTTTTTTTTTTTTTTTTTTTCTCATTGTTTTCCCAATTATAAAGAATTTTTTTTTTTTTTAATTTGGAAAAAAAGTCCTTATAGCCTAAATTTCTTAAAAACTGTGTAGTTTTTCTTAATGTTTTAAGTATCATATCATGATCATTTCCCCAATTAAAATTCCTCCTTTTTTAAAAATTTATAAGTGTGCCTCACACAATGCTAGGCAGGCACTCTACCACTGAGCTACAACCCCAGCCCTAAAATCCTTTTTTTTTTTTTTTTTTTGGTACCAAGGATTGAACTCAGAGGCACTCTACCACTGAGCCACTACCACTGAGCCACATCCCCAGACCTGTTTTGTATCTTATTTAGAGACAGGGTCTCACTGAGTTGTGTAGCGCCTCGCTGTTGCTGAGGCTAGCTTTGAACTTGTGATCTTCCTGCCTCAGCCTCCTGAGCTGATGGGATTACAGGAATGTGCCATCATGCCCAGCTAAATTCCTCTATTAAGGACCACATACAGCATCTTACTTTATAGCTCCAGTATAGTTTATTTTACCATTCTATTCTTAAACATGTAGGCATTTCCAGTTTTTTAACCAAGAGAAATAAGGTTATAATAAATATTCTAAAACTGTATTTGAATGTGTCCTTTAGGAGATCCCTAGAACTCAACATAATTAAGAAACTTATATTAGTATATATTTGAAGTGAATTCTTGGAAGAAGGTAGATATATTTTTTTTTTTAATTTTTTTTTTTTTAGTTGTAGATGGGCATAATATCTTTATTTATTTTTATGTGGTGCTGAGGATCAAACCCAGTGCCTCACCGGTGCGAGACAAGTGCTCTACCACTCAGCCCCAGCCCCAGCCCTAGATGTATATTTTTATAAGCTAGATCTATGTTAAACCAGATCTATGTTAATATGTATCTAGATTTTCCCATTCAAAAATCCCACTGCCCTACTGCCACTACTTTTGGAAGATTTTTCCCTCATGTGTCTTTCACATGGTATTAATGGCATCTATACAGATTTGCTGCTTCTGGTTTTCACTTAGCATTACCTCATCAGCATGGTTGTGTTCCTTTGTGGTGGTCTTAGCCCTCAGTGTTCAAGGCTGAAGAAAATTAACAGTAGTCACTTCACTGTTCTCTAGTTAGTGAACATTCAGGTCATTCCACCATTTTAACATTATGAATAGCATCTTCAAAGATGTCTTGGCCTCAAGTGTTTTCCCTTTTTTAGATTTTTCTCCACGGAAAATTCTTCAGAATGGAAAATTTCTCAGTTAAAGGGTGTTTGGGTTTTTTCTTTGTTGTTTTTGAGGAGGGGTTTTTTGTTTTGTTTTGGGTTTTCTTTTGGTGTTGCTGGCGGTCGAACCCAGGGCCTTTTACATGCTGGAGAAATGCTCTACTACTGAGTTAAATCCCCAGCCCAAGGAGGGTTCTTAATATGCATTGAAAAGCTGCTTTCCATAGGACTCTCCACGTTGATTCAACCACCAATAATAAGAGTCCTGGTCTCAGTACTCACAGGACCACTGGGTATTTTAATTTTCCTAAAATCAGTTTGCTTATGTGACAAATAAACAGTGGTCAATTTGGAGTAAACTTCTGTAAGCACCACTGATGACAATTCCTCCACACTCCTTTTTAAATGCTTGCTACATTTTTTCCTGTCCTTTTCAGCAGCGGAGAGAGGTTGTGTTGGACTGCCCTGAGAACTGAACTTCCACACAGCTCCTGGAGCTCCAACCTCACTCTGGCTCCCTGACCACTTGAGCTTCAATCTGTTCTTGCAGCACTTCAGCTGCTGATGGCCCAGCTCTAATTCAGCCTGTGTTATCCTTACTCTGGGGAAATACTCTCTACAATACAAGAGGCCCACTGGGCATGATGGAGCACTCCCAGCAGCTCAGGAGGCTGAGGCAGGAGGATTGCAAATTCAAAGACAGCCTCATCAACTTAGCAAGATCCTTTCTCAAAATAAAAAATTAAAACAAAAAAAAACTGGACATGTAGCTCAGTGGTTAAGCCCCCCTGGCTTCGGTCCTCAGTACCAAAAAGGAAACACCATGCCGAATTTATAGTATCAGGCACAAGCAGTAGCTCTTAGTCTATGGCCCAGGAGACACATTTGCTTTTCCTCAACTCAGTACTGCCTCAACTGTATTTAAGGCAGCTCCATTCACTGCTGCTGAGACCAAACTCAGGTCATGAGGACCTTAGAAAGTAAAAGGAAACACCTCATTGATCACCTGTGGGTGTGCCAGGAAAACCATCAGGCTGCTGCTCGGTTCAGACAACTACTTACTGAGCACCTGCTATATACAGTGTTATTGTGCTACACACTGGACCCACAAATCGAAGCAGCACTGTTCCTGTCTGGAGGGAGTATACAGTGTTAAGAGGCAAATAAGCAAACAGATCATTATAGTAATACATGAAAACAGAATAAAGGTGTCCACATGATGCCTTGAGAAGGATGCATATGGTGGGCACAGGCAGGGGAGGCACAGGGAAATCTCAGAGGTTTGTATTTTTGATGGCCCTCAAGAGTAGTTGTGAGAAGTGCAGATCTAGCAAGTAGAGGACAGTTGATGTGGCAGGTACAGGTTGTGGTGCCTCCCTAGACTTCTGTTGCCCACTCCTGCATTACCTTCCCTAACCTCTTCACCTATCTTTCTCCCTTGCAGCAGGGAGCCTGGGTGCAAGGGGCATAAGTTTGCACACAGCGGCCTAGCCTGCCAGCTGCCCCAGCCTTGTGAGGCAGATGAGGGACTGGGCGAGGAAGAGGATAGCAGCTCTGAGCGAAGCTCCTGCACCTCGTCCTCCACCCACCAGAGAGACGGGAAGTTCTGTGACTGCTGCTACTGTGAGTTCTTCGGCCACAATGCGGTGAGTGAGTCTGCCTGGGCTGAACAGGGCTGGGGGCCAGCCAAGGTGAGCAAAGGAGTACCCTGTTCTTCCCAGAGACCCCTCATCATGGTGATCATCACTGCACTTGGACCCTGTGAGTCCTGGTGCTTGCATCTGCTCACTTGAGCTTCAGGGCACATTTATGAGGTTGGGGTTTTTTAACATTTTGCTACCTTTGCTCTTCTCGTGGTTTCTCTTAAGATTGACTTTTTTTCTTTAGGCAAAAGGAAAGGAAATGGCAGAGAGAAAGCTATGATTCTGATGAGTATGTATACGTGTGTAATCCCAGAGAAGTGAACGCTTGTGCGTGATGAAGGCAGAGTGGAAGCAAAAAGGCTCTCAGTTCCCCAAGTGTGACAGCCAGCCGAGGGACAGGCCGTGAGCACAGACGGCGCCAGGAAGGAGACTCAGATCAGAGTACATGCTGTCTCTGCACAGGGGAGAAAGCAGTTCAGAAGTCTCATAAGGTGAAGAGGAAAGGGCTGCTGGTTAGGGCAGAGCAGCTGAGGATAGGAGGAATGAAAGTAATTCAACTACCAGTTGCCTTTGAGCTAGGCGCTGTTATCCTCATTTTAGAGATGATAAAATTGAGGCTCACAAAGACTCAGTGACTCGCCCAAGGTCATACAACTTTCAAGTGATGAAGCCCAGGCTCAAACCTACTAGCCTGGCTCCCCAGTCCGTGCTCGCCCAGCTCTGCCCTGTTTCCTCCCACTCCCTTCACCCCTGGCTGTCTCGGCTCAGAGCCCAGGCATTTGGCCTCTGTGGCTGATGGTAGGGAGAACAGCTGTCTCGCTCCTCACCACATACTTGGTGCCAGCGGGTGGGAGTGCTATGGGCCTCCCAAGCCCAGGGTGTAATGTCAGCGCCTCCCCCTCCCCCAGCCACCCGCTGCCCCGACGAGTCGGAATTATACCGAGATCCGGGAGAAGCTCCGCTCAAGGCTGACCAGGCGGAAAGAGGAGCTGCCCATGAAGGGGGGCGCCCTGGGCGGGATCCCTGGGGAGCCCGCCGTGGACCACCGAGATGTGGATGAGCTGCTGGAATTCATCAACAGCACGGAGCCCAAAGTCCCCAACAGCGCCAGGGCCGCCAAGCGGGCCCGGCACAAGCTGAAAAAGAAGGTGGGTGTGGGGGGAGCTCAGCTCTACTGCCTTTCCTCCCTGAGGAGTCCCTCACCCCAAGCCCCAAGACTTCTGGGGCATGAATGGTGCTAGCTGCCAAAGGCCTTGGCACAGCTCACTGCTCTGGGAAGGTCTGAATGAGTTTGGGAGGCATTAGGGTCAGAGAGTCTGGGGGCAAGTGAAGTGGAGGAAAAATGTTTCTTGGCCTCAGAAGCTGCTTACTGGATTCCTCCAAGCCGAGGACTTGCTTCATTCGGTCATTTATTCATTCAGCAAACACTTCTATAAACAATGGGAGCCAAAGTGTGCTGCATTTAAGTTCTCGTCTGGGAGAAGCTCAGTCCACTGGGGAGACACACAAAACTGGACAAGTACATATGTATGACAAGCACTGGAATGAGGGAAGCCCCCATCCTGCCCGAAAGTGGCTTTACAAGAGGCTGACTTGTGAGCAGAGTCATGGGGAGTGAGGACACATACATCAGGAGGGCCTCCTGGCAGCTGGCACAGCACACTCCACAGAGCTTGATAAAGCCAAAGCTGAAAACAGCAGAGAGGCAAGACACAGAGGAGGCAAGGGAGGGCCTCAGGTCCAGCTGAAGATGAGCTTTGCCTCCAGGTGAGGGAATGTTACTGGACGGTTGTCATCAGAGAGTGTGCTTGAGATTTGTACTCTGATTGTGGTGTGGTGGTATGGAAGGTAAATTGAAGGGTGCTAATTTAGGCAGGAAAACCTAGAGTTTGATGCCCCAGCCAGGAAAAGACAAGCCAAGGGAGAGATAATTGAGGGTGGGGCAGCAACAGAAGAGAGAATTGCAAAAGAAGCAGAAGTGACAGGCCTGGGTGATCTGATGGCAGAATGATGGTGGTGCCTTTCACTGAGCCAGGATGGCGTTTACAGAAGACTGAATGCAATTGGGTTACATTTTCTCAGAGGTTCCCATGAAACATCAGCATGGAGAAGGAGGTGCAGGGTTAGGAGTTGCCAATACAAAGATGTAATTGAAGCCATGGGATTGAAATGGTCCTCAGGGCTAAGGTTTGAACCTAGGGAGCTATTCCCGAGCAGCCCTGCTGCCAGGTGAGTCCCAGAGCTTGGTGGAGTATTCCCTGCAGCTTTATTATCTCTTTGTCCACGTGTCCCCAACTGCATCTGCACAGTGCCACACCCAGAGGAGTCCAGCATCAAAGGGGTTTAGGTTTGACAGTCAGCTAGTTCCTGTTCCTGGGTGGTCAAACAACCCTAGAGCTCTGGAAGGCAGAAGTGATTTCCAGCTTTCTCTAGCCCAAAGAATTACTAAGATCCTTCTGCAACTTGAAGTACTAAGCCAAGGAGTTCCACTGCTGCCTTCAGAAAATGGTCAGCACTTTTATGTTCCCATTCAAAGTTGCCAGCGAGAGATGTTCAGTAAGCTGCAGTGGTCTTTCTGGCCTCTTAAGGCAACTGTCCCCAGTTAGGTCCCCAGAGGGTTTCCAGGCCTAATGTGCTTCTAATGAACTTGTGCCCTTTCCCTTTACTCATCATACTGTTTACTCACCTTTTCTTCTTGATAAGCTGTCTCTGCAAGCTCAGTTCAGATGTTTCCCCCTCTGCTGACTTCCTGAGGGAATTCTTCTGCTATGCTCCCACCACACCTTGGGCATCTCTCTCAGCTGCCATTTGTCATGATCTTTTCACTCATTCCAAAGCTCACTGCGCAGCCACTGTTTGCTAGGCCCAGCCTAGAGGCCAGGACACACACAAACCAAGCATCCCTGCCCTCTCAGATGTAAAATCATGGGTCCACAGGCAGGGACAGACATACATGGGCAGTTGCAATGTCAGGTCATTATCTGTTTAGACAGCAGCCTTCACCCTGAAGTCCCTCCACCTGCCAAAGTTAACTACAATCTGGCTGACCATCGAAACCCAGTTTCCCAGCAGCCAGATAGTGATGACTGCTTATTCACTCCCACTTTGGGAGTGTCTGTTTCCCATCCCACTTCCAGATCATGACCCTCTCACCTTTGTGTACTAATCCCTAATCTTTTTTTTTTAATTTATTTTTTTAGTTGTACACAATACCTTTATTTTGTTTATTTATTTTTATGTGGTGCTGAGGATCAAACCCAGGGCCTCGCACGTGCTAGGTGAGCACTCTACCGCTGAGCCACAGCCCCAGCCCCAAATCCCTAATCTTTTGAAGCTGAATTCCTGGCCCCACCATTGTAACCTCCTCCACTGAATAATGTCACCTGATCCTTTCTCTTATGCCCACACCAATCTAGTATTCACTCTTAAACTGAGTAAGTATTGGTAAAAGAGCAAGTGAACTGTCCCCATCACTCTCTCTCACCAGTACTCTCAATTCCTTGCCCCATTGCCCTTCTGTCAACACCTTCTCAGAAGAACTGCCCTTCCCCTTCTACACCCCCAAAATAGTACATGACCAGATCTGCCTGGGGCTCCTGGCCAGGTGTTCTCCCTTTGCCTGAGCCCCCACATTGCCTGGCCAGCTTCCATAGCTCCCTAGTCATCTTGCTCCACCTTATGCCCATTTGTACAGCCTCTTTGTCAGAATTCCATTCTCCAGCCTCCAGGTCCTTCATGGCCCCCTTCCCCTTATTTTTGGTAAATAACCACTTTCCATGTCAACAAGGAAAAAAACCATTGGACAGGCATTCTGTCAACTGATCACCTCACCTGCAAACTTAACTTTCCTCCTTGTTGGGAGAAGAGTAAGCCCTTCTCACCCAAACCCATGTGGTCCTTTTTTGCCTCCTCAACCTAGCATGAGGCCACCTACTCTGGAGCTGCAGCCTCTTCTGGGATACTTCCCATTGCCTTTCACTGTGTCCACTGCTGTCATTTCAAAGCAGAGTCTTTGTCAAGCTTGTAGCCTCTCCTGTACCTTTCCTCTCATCAAAGCCACCATTTCTTGAAAAACAATGTCTGTGTTTACTGTCTTCACCTCCCCCCTTGTCAGCTCACTGCAGATTGTTCTTCATCCCTTTGCAGAGTCACACTGATTTCTTTGTTGCCAAATTCAAATTCTGTTCATCCATTTAGCAACCTTTGACATTTTGTGTTTTCCTTTTCAAACTTTGTCTTTGGCTCCTCCGCCCTCAACCAAACAGGGCCAGGAAAGAAGCAGTGGGAACACCATCTTCTCCAGTTTTCTGAACTCTCAGACCACTTTCTGTCTCCTTTGTGAGCACCTGGCCCTCCCACTTGAGCACATCTCCCTGGGAGAAGAAAGCCATGGAGTTTGCACTATACTCCCTGCACTTCAAATTGACATCCCCTACTGCTACTGGGCTCCTCCTCACGGATGTCCCCCAGACACCTCAAACTCAGCAAACTGAGCTTGTTATCTTTCTCCATTGTCTCGTCAGTGGCACCACCACCCACCCTGATTGCCGAACCAAAGCTCACCTCTGAATGCCATTCTGGAGGAGTGCATTATACTGACAGAGCAGTGGGCCTTGCAGTTGGACCTCAGTTTGAAGCTCTGCTATGCCACACTTGCTGTATGACCTTGGGCAAATCACTTAACCTCTAAGCCTCGGTTTCTTCATCCATAAAATGAGAATAACAGGAGAACCTAAGTCAGATTATTGAGGATGAAATGGAGTGATGTACAAAAAGGTTGGGCATAGTGCCTGGCGCATGTCAACGTTTGGTCTATGGAGGCTGCTGTAGCAGCCACAGTGGTTGGGCAGTGTTTTCTCAACACATCTCATTCTCTCCCTACCCAATACCAAAAGTCCTATCCAGGTGGCTTTCCCAGTTGCTCTAACCAGTCACTTCTTTCCACTTACCACCTCTACTTTCAAAGCCTTACGTGGCTGGCTGAACATTGTCCTCGGGCTCAAACCAGAACCCAGTGTGGCCTGCAGGCTCCTTGGGATCCAGCCCCAGCTTAGCTTGCTAGCTTCATTTCTCAGCCTCTCCTCTCTCACCTGCCTTCCCAGCCCCAGCCCCTGTCCTAGCCCCTGTCCCACACAAAAAAAATAAAAATAAAATCTAGACTCTGACTGTACCTTTGAATGGTGTGTGTTCCCTAATGATACACTTTTCCATTTCCCAGCTTTTAGGCTTGCTATTCCTTCTGTCTAGAAAGTACTTGTCTCAACTTTCTCCAGGATGATTTCACTCAGCCTTCAGTGCCTTCTCTAGGAAGCACTCCCTGATGACCCAGTCTGGGATAGGAGGATCATTATCTCCCTGTAGCTCTGAATTAAACAGCCTGTTTATGTGTCTTCTCCCCCAGCTGACCAAAGTAAGTGAGGCAGAGACCATGTATGGCTGCATGCCCATCGCCTAGCCCACTGCCTCACAGTTGATGGTTAGTTAATGGTTGGCAAATGGAATTGAAAGCCATGGCAACTTCTGAAGGTCATTCCTGGTGTATTATCCAAACTCTGTCATTTTACTAGCCACATAACCTGAGCCAGTTCTGTATTCTTCCCAAAGTCAAGATTCTTCATCTATAAATTGCAAATCGCGGTGCAGCAAGGATAGTAATAAAGATTAGAGGAGTCGGGTTCCTGGTATGTAGCAAAAGATGTGTGTTGCTGTGCTTTCTCCTTCTGTTCATATCAGAGTATATGGTTCTAGTACGCTCCCTCCACACCAGTACATTTCAGATATTTTGGTTCAGCAGCAAGTTTTTTCTCTGCATGAAATCTTCCATGGACTCTCCTGTCTATAACAACTAAAAGCAAAGCTGTGCTGGTATAGGGAAGCAGTGAGGGGAAAGGGCCTCTGGGCCCTTGGCCATCCCATGGCCTCCAGGCCCTACACACAGCTAGAAATCCTGCTTCAGGCTATACTGTTGCTCACTTGATCCCTCACTACCAAGGCACAGCCTTAGCACTGGGGAAGGAACTTGGCACAGACTTTTTCTCCCTAATAGATGTACATCTGTGTAGTAGGTGTACTACTTTTTCTCCCTAAGTCACAACCTGGAAGGTTAGGTTCAGAGAGAGTAAGTGATTTGTCCAAGGTCCCCAGGGACAGCTGACCTTAGTCAGTAATAGAGCCAGTGTTCAAAAGAGATGAGAGAATAAATGCCTGCCTGCTAGGATACAGGGTCACCCACTTTTAAGTTGACTCTTAAGATGGTGGCAAGCTCTCCTTTTTTCTCCTCAGATTCATTTTTCTGCTTTTCCCCCTTCATTCCCAAATCGAAGGAAAATACTGAGGTGGTGCAAGTCATCCAAAACCAGGTGCTCTACCACCACATTCTTCCCAAGGGTTCTCCTCTCTGCTTCCTATCTCCTTCTAAAGGCCTTATTTGCCTGCTGATGCCTTGAAGTGGGGGTGATGGCCAACAAATTGATTATTCTCCAGATCTGAGTCCATCAAAGCTTATTGCAAGGTCTCAGAGCCTCCCTGGGCTGAGGGACTGCTTTTACATGTTCATGCCATGGCCTGGTATGGCTGTCCATGTATGCCATTGGGCACGCTTTGAGTGTGGCCTCAAGTCATTGAGGCCAGCATAGTCATGAGAAGCATTTCTGTTGGAAGGGCACTCAGATGTAGCATCAGGAGGGCACATGCATTCCCAGCCACCCAGAGCAATCACATCTCCTGTGACAGTCTCATAGCACCCACATCTTCCTTCCTTTAAGACTGTATAATATGACTTTTCCCCTCCCGCCTGCAGAATTGGAGAGACTGCCTCTCCAGCAGCCATGTTCCTCACATGAATCCCCATTTTGGTCTTCAGAATTATTGTCCCCATTTTGATGAGTCCACAGGGACCCAACTGGTAAGTATATGAATTGCTCAAGTTCACACACAACTCAGGCCAGGGAGGCATAACTTGTCTCTTTGAGTCCCAGCCTCCTTAGGCTGTAGGACCAACACAGGGGCTTGGTATGAACAAACTATAAAAACCTTACTCTCTGGGGAGGGCAAACCTGTCTGATCACATTTCACCCTCATTCCGGCAGTGTCAGGGAGCAGGCCAGGATTGTGAGGCTGTGTCTCCAGCAAGTTAATGGCAAAGCTGGGTCCCAGACCGATGTGTCCAGTGTCATATTGTGTCTGATAGCTGACAGACCTCTGCTGAAACTGCCTCTTATATTGGCAGGAAAAAGAGAAGGCCCAGTTGGCAGCAGAAACTCTGAAGCAGGCAAATCGTGTTTCTGGAAGCCAGGAGCCAAGGCCTGCCAGGGAAAGGCTCTTGGAGTGGCCTGACCAGGAATTGGATCGGGTCAACAGCTTCCTGAGCAGCCGTCTGCAAGAGATCAAGAACACTGTCAAAGACTCCATCCGTGCCAGCTTCAGTGTGTGTGAGCTCAGCATGGACAGCAATGGCTTCTCTAAGGAGGGGGCTGCTGAGCCTGAGCCCCAAACTGTATCCCCCTCAAACCTCAATGGCTCCTCAGAGCAACGGCCTGACATCAACCTTGACCTGTCCCCTTTGACTTTGGGCTCTCCCCAGAGCCACACGTTACAAGCGCCAGGTGAGCCGGCCCCACCGTGGGCAGAAATGAGAGGTCCCCACCCACCATGGACAGAGGTGAGGGGCCCCCCTCCTGGTATCATGCCTGAGAATGGGCTAGTGAGGAGACTCAACACCGTGCCCAACCTGTCCCGGGTGATTTGGGTCAAGACGCCCAAACCAGGCAACCCTAGTTCTGAGGATTCAGGCTCAAAGGAGGTCCCCAGTTGCAAGCAGGAGCTGCCTGAGCCTGTGGCCACAGGTGGGAAGCCACGGAAAGGCAAAAAACAGGGTAGTCAGGCCAAGAAGAACGAGGTGAACCTGGCCTCCCATCCTCCAGCCAACACAGAGGTTCCCAGTGCCAAGAGCCAGATATCTGGCTCCAAGCAACCAGGCAAGGCCCCAGAGCTTCCCAACACAGGCAGCTGTGCTGAGGCTGGAGAGGGCAGCCGAGGGAGCAGGCCAGTATCAGGTTGGGCTGACAGCCCCAAAACTGAGAAGGAGAAGGGCAACTCCTGGCGGAACTGGCCAAGTGAGGTCAAGGCACGTCCTTCAGAGCTGGAGTCTGTACAACCCCCAGGCTCAGCAAGGCCACAGAGCTTACCCCAGGGCAAGAGCCGCAGCCGCAGGAGCCGCAACAAGCAGGAGAAGTCGGCCTCCTCGTTGGGTGAGTGCACCAGGAACCAAATAGCTGGCCCCGCACCCCCCAACCAGGCCACAGGGTGGAGGGCAGTCCTCGTGTATGGGCAGTGCTGCCCCCCGGAGCATGACCCCAGAGGCTTGGCTGTGGGCACTGAGCCCTCCTGGCTCTGTCTTCCTAGACGATGTGTTCCTGCCTAAGGACATGGATGGGGCGGAGATGGATGAGACGGACCGAGAGGTGGAGTACTTCAAGAGGTAGGTGTGGGCTCATAATTCCCCCACTTTGCAAGGGGAGCCCCTGCCTATACCCAAGTCCCATATTGTACCTTGAACTTTAGAAAGGCCTACTCCCTGGCTCTTTCGGGTACCTCACTACCCCTCCAGGCCCTGCCACTAGCTGGTCTGCTGGAACCCAGGGAGCCACTTTCTAGAATGGAACATCTAGGAAGGTGCAAGGCATAGGGAGGATGTGACACATCAGGCACCCCCAGACCTGGGCTTTTTCCAGCTTTTATTCACTCTTTAGTCATTTATATTTCCTCTACCATGCCTGGGCAATCTAGACAAGGAGAGATCGAGAAGTATACAGCACAGTGATCAGTGCTATTAGAGGTGTAAGAGCATGAGGCGTACAGGATGGGAAGAGGATGGGGGCTTCAAACCAAGCTGGGGGGCAGAGGCAGGCCAGGAAGCTTTCCTAGGAGAGGTGATACCCAAGCTGAAACCTGAAAATTAAGACTGAGTTGGCCAGGGAAAGCATACGGCATTTGAAGTGTGGCCAGGGTGTACCAAGGTCTGAGGGTAAGGGAAGCAAGCATACTTAGAGAAATAGAAGCCCACCCCATACATTAGAGAATGAACCATGAGGTTAGGAAGGAGCTTGAATCTCAGGTGGGGGTGGTCTTCCTGTCCCCCTGGCCTCATGGGCAGTGATTCTTGAGCCAGCAAAGCTCCCATGCCTGCCAGACCCTGATACTTGGGAGCACAGAGGTTGTGTTGCATCAGCTGGTTTCTTAGTGGAACACCTAGTGTCCGCTAACGGGTCCAGCGAGGAAGGGAGGGAACCTCTGATATGCTTCTTCTGTCTCCCAACAGGTTCTGTTTGGATTCAGCAAAGCAAACTCGTCAGAAAGTTGCTGTGAACTGGACCAATTTTAGCCTCAAGAAAACTGCTCCCAGCACAGCTCAGTGAGGTAGAGACCCCAGGTTACTTGCATCCCCTGTTCTCTGCCATCTTATGTGCCCATTCTCTGCTTTGGGCAAGGGGTTTGGATTTGGGGCTTGTTGGCCGTGGTCTCTGTACTTCTACAACAACCCCACATAAGCCAGTTGGCAGTGTCCAAAAATCTAGACCCCGTCTCTTTTCCTGCAGCCACTCATCCCAGGCCTCTGTTGCTTCACTACTCCTTTCTGGCAGATTCTCCTCCTGCAGGGTCCCTTCACGGACTGCCATCCCTGGGCAATCACCACCAAGGCTTAAGCTCTCTACCAGCTGCCAGGCAGCTGCAGAACCCCTGGGGCTGCCCTCGCTCCTTATACAATCAGGCCTTGGGTTTGGATCCCACTTGCTTAGCCTGGTTCTTCAATGCAGATGATGAGAGTGGCTTCCAGCTGAAGCAGTGTGAAAAGAGAGCCAGCCCCAAGGGAGCAGTGAAGGGCAGATGAGTGAGAACAAGGATTTGTAGATTCTTCAGATAAAGAGGATTTTATTGTGGGAAAAGTTCCCTGAAGAAGATAGTAACCAAGCTGCCTCCAGGAAGAAGAGACCCAGCCTCCAGGTGGCTCTGGCCTTCCCTCTAACTCCCTGCATAGTTCCTTTTGTCTATTTTTTTATTTTAATTTTTAATTTTTAAATTTTTGGTTCTTCTGGGATTGAACCCAGGACACTTTACCACTGAGCTACATCCCTAGTCCTTTTTATTTATTTATTTATTTTAAAATTTTTTTAATTTTTAAAAATTTTTTAGGTATAGATGGACACAACACAATGCCTTTATTTTTATGTGGTGCTGAGGATCGAACCCAGGTCCCTCCCGTGCTAGGCAAGCTCTCTACTGCTGAGCCACAATTCCAGCCCCAGTCCATTATATTTTTTACTTTTAAACAGGGTCTCATTAAATTACTGAGAGTCTTGCTAAAAGTTGCTGAGGCTGGCCTCGTATTTGCAATCCTCACATCTTGGCCTCCCACATCTCTGGGATTATATATACCACCATATCTGGCTGGTCTGAAATATTGACGTTGGATGATATTAGACTGGGTACACACCCTAGGAGAAGGCATTTGTCTGGGAACTTAGTGCAGAAAAGGGCAGCTGGCAGGTGCACCTTAGTGCTGGGCTTGGGGCCTTGCAGTTGTGCACTCTCCTGTCTTAACCCTGAGTTGTGTCCCTGGGGTAACTATACACTTACCCTTCAAGACGGTGGAAAGCTGGGGTAGGTAAGCTGAGCTCATTATCCCTACCCCTGTTCTTCTCTTTCCAGTGCCAGAACAACTCTCTGGGCTGAAGTAACAGGCTTCCTGGACCCTCAGCTCCCTAGGGACAGCCTGGAGAACCTGAAGCCAAGGCAACCTTCAGGGCTGCACTCGGTGTGGCATCCTTGTGCTGTCTCTACATCAGGACTATCTTATTTAGACTCCCCTCAGCCCTCTGCTGGGGATGCTGTGCTCCCTGATCCACAAGATATCCATACCCTAAGATTATCTTCCAGGGTTAAGGTGTCTTCCTGCCTCTTTTCCACCTCCACAGAATCAGGAGTAGCAGAGACCCAGGCACTTCAACTGTTGTTTTCCTAATGAGAGAAAAAGGGTCACATCTCCCATAAGCCAAATTCTACTATCATTCAGGAAGCCATATTCAACCATCTTCTCCCACCTTGGCTGTTCTCTAAAACATGCTCTATGCATGAGAAAGCAGTGCTGGCATGGACTTGGGACCTAGCCCAGGCTGTGTCCCTAGAGCCTAAGGCAGGAATATGAGTACAGAGCTGGCTTTGTCTAGTACCTGCCAGTGGGAGAGCAGATAACTAGTAGCTACTTAGCTACTTAGTCCTGGCCCAGAAGGGTATTCTGCAGCAGGGGTCCTAAGATCCTCAGAAACTATCCCTCACATGCCAGAACCCCAGCCCAGGACTAGGGTTCTTTCCCTCCCACCCCCCAATAGGGTCTTAACCTTCTTCTTCTGCTCGAGGTGATCCAGGGAATCTATTCAGCATTTTCAGCCTAAGGAACAAAAATAGGAGACCACTGTTCTTACCTCCACAGGGACCCAGAGTCCGTGTAGGTCGGGCGTGCACTGTTCTCACTGTGATCCTGCTCTTTTATTCTTTCTCAGCCCTGCTTAGGTCAAGCTTCTTCAGGGCATCCTGAGGCCCCGACTGCCAGCTGAAGGTCTACAGTTTTTCCTCCCACATGTCCTGCCCACCTGCCCTGACCCCTCCCTGCTCCTGCCATCCTGGACCAACCAAACGCTGAATGGATGCTGTGCTGTGCTAGAGTCCCTCAGGACCTCGGCAGAGCCGCTTCCTGGTGCTATGCAGCCTCCATACTCAGAACCTGGGGACTGGGCTGGCCTGTGCTGTGGGCCAGGGGCTGATGGTACTGCTGGCCCAACACTGCTCTCTTTGTGTTCAGTTTTTTGTTTTTGTTTTTATTTTATTTTTTTTCAATTCTTTACTTTTGATACTGTGAAGATCTTTCATGCTGAAAGATAAAGCAACATTTGGACACAGAGTTGATGTGAATGGTGATTTGCTGGTCTGGGTGGGGGGTGGGGTGACAAATATACTCAGAAGCATGGGATCACCTTAGTCACTAATCCATTGTCAGCAGTTTGTCCTGGTTTCTATTAAATTTCCTTAGAATTCTTCAAAGCAATCCTAAATGGATTTTACAGTTGAAGAAAGTGACTCCACTGAACTCTGACCAAGCAGGACTGAGCAAAGGCCTATGTAACTGTGGGGTCGGTGCCCTTTCCTCCTGTTGGAGGGACTTTGGTATGTGAGTTTGAAGCAGCCCCTCCCAGCTGTATGTCTCAGCTTGCCCCTTGACAAGATGGGTGATCTGCAAGTTAGATGTGGTCTTTCTGCATGCAAGGGTCTAGGAAAGATCATGGGCCTCTACGGACAGTGCCCAATAGCCTGGCAAGTTACAGGTTCCTTACGCTGCCTTAATTTAGTCAGGGAAAGTTAAGGGTAAAATGATTTTTTATAAATTAGATCTGATTTCCTAGAGGGAATGGGACATGTAGTCTAAGATAATGAACCAGTCTGTAAAGTCAAGCAAACTGTCTCATCCCCCAAATGGACGGAGGTGTTTTGGAAATTCAGATTTAAATATGTATATCCTAAAATGACTCACATACATTTATGTCCAAGTTCCCTGTCTCCAAAGTAGTTTTCGTTACTAAAGCCAACTCTTAACTTGAGCTTATGTGGGGTGTTCTGTGTCTAGAGGAGAGTTCTATAACTGGCAAGAAGGCTTGTGGAGCTTTATAAACAGGACCAGAAATCACAACCTCCCCTCCCCACCCCCAGGTTGAGCCCCACCATGATATGCGTGAATGTGTTTTCTAAAGAAGGGAAACAGCATTTGACCACAGGCAAGCAATTCCTGGTCCCTGATTTGTTCCAGTCTCTGAGGAAGTGTGAACACTTCCTTGTGAAACCTTTCTCTTATATTTATTTGTGTTCCTCTTCCTGCCATTCTTGCACCAAGCTCCTGCCTTAAAGTTGAATTAGCATAGCTGTCCAAAATGTGGCTCCATCATGCCAAAAAATCAAGACCTGATCAAATAGTCCGTTTGCTTACAGAGAAAAGCTTATGTGAGTGGCATTCAGGGTCTTTTGTGCCTGGATGCCTGATGCTTAGCACTCATCCCAGCCATGCAGTCTCTAGTTAGGCTTACTACCTGTAGGATTCCCAACATTTTTTTTCTCATCTTTCCCTCTTCCCCAATTATCTTCCTTCATAAATTCCTATTAATCCCACATCTCAGATGAGAAGCCATTTGTCCTGCCTTTTTTCCAAACATGGTTTGTTTTCTGTCTTCTCAACTAATCCACAAAACATTCACATGCCAAGTGTATTGTCTTGTTCATCCTTTATATGCTTCAGCACTATGAACAGTGCCCAGCATTTACTCCTATTAAACATGAATGAAGGAAACCATGTTATTCCTCTTTACTAGTCCCCAGTGAAATTGAATTTATAACTTAACAGTCACTGCCCTGCATCATCTGGACCCAGTATCCTTTTCCTACCATATCCCTGGCTACCCCGGCCTCTCACCAGCCATGGTGATCTCTTTATTCCCTGAAGAATGTATGTACTTGCACATCACCAGACCTTTACTCCTGCTGTACTCTTGCTCAGGAAGCCTCTATTTTCCACTCCCTGCAATGAGATTCCCACACTTCCCTGGAAACTCAAATCCAGTGTTTGCTCTAAGTCTTCTAGTTGGTCACTCTGATCTCTATTATTGGATTTACAACAATCATCATTTACATATGTACAGGGCCTCAATTAAAAACCACTGTCATCAGGATTTTATTTATCCCTCACCACTCACTGCGTGGCCTCATAGATGAAACCAGTCAGAGCGGTTGTGGGTGTTCGGGGTCATTTATTCATCAAGCCCCACTCTGCTCCTGCGGAGACAGTGGCAGGATCCCAGCTTGCCAGATCCGGGAGCCCCGGGTCACTAGAGGGCTTAATGTTCACTGGCCGCGGCGTACTAATGGCGTCATGCTTTAGGTCTGGCTAGGTACCTGGCAGGCTGCCCTTCTCCCTTCCGGATCAGTCTCCACTGGGGGTCTTCTTCTGGATGGGTTTGAACCTTTGCGCATGCTCCAAATTCTCCAGTGTCCTACACGTCGTACCTGATGTCTTAGGCCCTGGCAACAGTGGAGTAGCCACTCACAGCCCCGCCCCCACCTCATGAGGAAATTTGTCCCTCTGCGCGATCCGGCTCTCCAAGATCGTTGCTAGGCGCCGACGTCCGCTTCTTCTCATCGGATTGGATCTCGCTCAAAGATGAGGCGTGGTTTTGCCGTGGCGCGCATGCGTGCGACAAAGGATGGAGGAGTCGGAACCCGAGCGGAAGGTGGGAACGAGGCTGGGGCCCACGCGGGTGGGGAGCGGGAGTGAAGGTGGGGGCGATGCGGAGTTCGGGTCTAATTCGCTTGTATCTGTAGCGCGCCCGCCCGGACGACGCGACCGCAGGAGGAAGCCGCTCCGAGGATGAGGATGAGGACGATGAGGATTACGTGCCCTATGTGCCGCTGCGACAGCGCCGACAACTTCTGGTGAGGGATCAGGGTCGGAGGAGGAATGGGGGCGTGACCACCGGGTTTCATTGGGATTGGAGGAGGCGCTGGCCTTCCCCAAGTTCTGAGAACTAAGTTTCTGTACTCGCGAGCGTAGCCCCGAGGCAAAGGAAGGACTGGCGACCAGGCCTGAGGAGTAAGGCAGTCTGCGCCTCCAGGCACAGGTCCCACACTCAAAAGCCCGGATCCTGATGCAGTCTCCCCGGGGACCATGCTACCCTCGCCCCGAGACAGACAGACAGACAGACACACACACACACACACACACACACACACACCACTTTGGACTTGACTCTGAGAGACACTGGTGGAACCACAGCTCCAGAAACTGCTGCAGCGAAGACGCAAGGGAGCTGCAGAGGAAGAGCAGCAGGACAGCAGCAGTGAGCCCCAAGGAGATGAGGACGACATCCCTTTGGGCCCTCAGTCCAACGTCAGCCTCCTGGATCAGCATCAGCACCTCAAAGAGAAGGCTGAAGGTGGATTGGGCAACACTGCCTGGACAGGGAGGAGGTACAAACGAAGCTTAGTGCCTTATTTTGGTGTCTCACATCTTCGGGTTCTTTTCTCAGCCCGCAAGGAATCTGCCAAGGAGAAGCAACTAAAGGAAGAAGAGAAGATTCTGGAGAGTGTGGCTGAAGGCCGAGGTAGGGTTGTAGCTAGGACAATAAGGAGGTGGATTGAATCATCTCCCCGCATCCCGAGGCATTTAATATCTCATAGGATCTGGCCTCTGGGAAACAGGAGCCAGCCCTGAGTTATGTTTGTTTTCTCAGCCTTGATGTCAGTGAAGGAGATGGCCAAGGGCATTACATATGATGACCCAATCAAAACCAGGTATGTCTTTCCAGACTGTTCAGTTGCTCTTACTTAGGATGGTGTGTGGCTGAGACTAGCAGTGACACCCCAAGCCCAGCTGTTCCAAGGCCTCTGTTGAACCCTACCACCCACCCACAGTTGGACACCACCCCGTTACGTCCTGAGCATGTCTGAAGAGCGGCATGAACGAGTTCGGAAGAAGTACCACATCCTGGTGGAGGGAGATGGTATCCCACCACCCATCAAGAGCTTTAAGGAAATGAAGTTTCCTGCAGGTATCTGGGAACAGAGAGGAAATGCTACATTTTTCTAATCGAGTCTTGGTGAGGTGTGCCTTAGCCTCCACTGAGTTCAGCATTGTCAGTGTTGAGTCCAGACAATAAGAATGGAGAGATTTAAAAAGGGATATCCTTAGACTTATTTTTCAACTGTCCTAACTGTACATGTTCTCTGTCTTCTGTAACAGAGTTTCACTGGGAAACTGCTATTGGGTTTAGATAGCTGTGGGTGTGAATACTGGCTCCAGCAAGCCCGTTGGCATTGGACAAGTCTCTCTTCCTTTCTCTCCCTGAGCCTGTTTCATCACTTGCAGCTTGTGGGGTAGTGCTGATCTTACAGACTCTAGGACTCTGATAAAGCACTTGCTGTTTCCCACAGCCATCCTGCGAGGCCTAAAGAAAAAAGGCATTCTCCACCCAACACCTATTCAGATCCAAGGTATCCCTACCATGTGAGTATGGACCATGGACTTGGGGTCCCTGAGGAAAGCAGTGACAGGGAGAAGCAATAACCAAGTGTCTGACTGGAGAAGTAGTTGCTGTTTCCTGCTGGACCTGGCCCTCAGGCTATCTTCTCCTACAGTCTTTCGGGCCGGGACATGATTGGCATTGCCTTCACGGGGTCAGGCAAGACGTTGGTGTTCACACTGCCCGTCATCATGTTCTGTCTGGAACAAGAGAAGCGGTTGCCTTTCTCTAAGCGTGAGGGGCCCTATGGACTCATCATCTGCCCCTCGGTAAGATGGGCTGGACTGGAGGGCAGGGTAGAGACTGGGATCACCTGGTGCCAGCTTTATCTTTGTGCCTACAGCGGGAACTGGCCCGGCAAACCCATGGCATCCTGGAATATTACTGCCGCCTGCTGCAGGAGGACAGCTCACCTCTCCTGCGCTGTGCTCTCTGCATTGGGGGCATGTCTGTCAAAGAGCAGATGGAAACCATCCGACAGTACGTACAGGCACCCCTGCCCCACACCCTTCCACAAAGTCCCCAGAGAAGCTTAATTTAGCCATTTTGCAGATCCTCACAGAAGTCTCCTGTTGGGGCCCAACTCTTAAGGACCCTAAAGTCTTATGGGGAGGTGGATTGAGGTGAGACAGAGACATATGGCCAGGTACTGTGGGAACACAGCAAATGGAATGGCCTAGGCATCTTGAAGGTAGGAGGTTAGAGAAAGCTCTGCAGGAATGGTGATATTTGAATTTTGAAGAGAGGCAGTTCAAGCAGAAAACACAGAAGTAGGGATCAGGGGTGTCCAGAAAAGTCAGGGTTGTTCATTGCAGTCAACCAAGGAAGCTGGGGCACTAGATCAAGGATAGATCAGAGTGGCATGCCCTTTCCACACAGTTCAGACCGCATAGATGTTGCCAGATGCCATGGACCAAGCTTTGGGGTCACTGATGGGCCAGACCCCATTCCTATTTCTGAGGCATTTTCAGTCTTGGGGAAGATGCAGGCGCAGAAAAGATGAAGTCAGTACTGGGAAAGTGAGCCAAGCAAGGCCTCCAAGGGGGCTGCAGGAGCCTGGGGTAAAGCCTCTGCAGGGTTTCAGTGTAGCTTTCCTGGGGCTAGGAGAGTGACCTGAGAAAAGAAGGAAGGTGTCTCAGGCCAAGGGCTGGCAAGAAAGCTGTAAGCCCTTTATTTTATTTTTATATGGTGCTGAGGATCGAACCCAGTGCCTCGCGTGTACTAGGCAAGCGCTCCACCACTGAGCCACAACCCCAGCCCCTGCAGGCCCATCTTATATGCCATATGTATAGGGCAGAATATGGAGAGTAACAAGGAGAGGACAGGGGAGGAGAGTCAGGAGAGAAATCCTAGAGCAGAACAGAGGCAGGATGCCATCTCTTGGTAGGTGATAGGCAAGTAGCCCCAACCTCAGGGTCTCTCCTTGGTTCTCAGTGGTGTACATATGATGGTGGCCACCCCTGGACGCCTCATGGATTTACTACAGAAGAAGATGGTGAGCCTAGACATCTGTCGCTACCTGGCCCTGGATGAGGCTGACCGCATGATTGACATGGGTTTTGAGGGCGACATCCGCACCATCTTTTCCTACTTCAAGGTGCCTCTCCCGACCTTTCCAGGGATTCCTGAACTGCCCCCCGCCCCATGCATACCACATTCAATTATGGAGGGCCCTGAGCCTCTGCACTGCCCCATCCTCTGCTCCTACTTCAAGGGGGCTATGTCTCAGCTGCTTAGTATCCCCAGAACCTATCCCCTACACATCTTGGCCCATCCCCACCAGCCCTGCATGCTTCAGCCCCAGCCTCCACCCTTCCTCAGGGCCAGCGGCAGACTCTACTCTTCAGTGCTACCATGCCAAAGAAGATTCAGAACTTTGCCAAGAGTGCCCTGGTAAAGCCTGTTACCATCAATGTGGGGCGTGCTGGGGCCGCCAGCCTGGATGTCATTCAGGTGAGCCGGCATTCTTGGTGAACAGTCTCTCACCTGTGAGGACTGCATCTGGTGAAACTGATTGGAAAAAGGGGTTCACTTCATGTTAATTGGAACCCCTTGCTCTTAGGGGTTCTGGCTCTTGGTGGCAAGAGGCATCTGGTTATCTCCTGGCTCAGATTAGAAACCCAGCCTTCTGTGGCAGGGACGTGGCCAGTGACCCTAACCTTGAGATCACCTGACCTGGCCTCTTTCTGGCAGGAGGTGGAATACGTGAAGGAAGAGGCCAAGATGGTATACCTGCTTGAGTGCCTGCAGAAGACCCCCCCTCCTGTGAGTGCAGCCAGTCCAGGCTAGTGCCAGAGTCCCAGGACAAGGAAGAGGGTAGTAGGGACTGCATGCTGGGGTAAAGTTGGAGGAACACCCTGTGACTAGAGTTGGCCTTCCTGCGTAGGTGCTCATCTTTGCAGAGAAGAAGGCCGATGTGGACGCCATCCATGAGTATCTGCTGCTCAAGGGGGTTGAGGCTGTTGCCATCCATGGGGGCAAAGGTCAGGACAGTGCATGCATTAGCGTGAACCCTGATGCTATAGCAACCCTTCACCTATCCCTTCCCCTGCCTGACCTGCCTGCTTCCAAAACTCCCACCGTAACTCTGATAGCTGCTGCCTGACCCTCCCTAGACCAGGAGGAACGGACCAAAGCCATTGAGGCATTCCGGGAGGGCAAGAAGGATGTCCTGGTGGCCACAGATGTGGCCTCCAAAGGCCTGGACTTCCCTGCTATCCAGCACGTCATCAATTACGACATGCCTGAGGAAATCGAGAACTATGGTGGGGAACTTCAGGGACCAGGGGTGTGGGGTAGACAGAAGGACCAGGCCAGGTCCCCGCCCTGGTGCAGTGAGCTAGAGGCTCTGTCCTTCTCTTTTCAGTGCACCGAATCGGCCGCACAGGGCGCTCAGGAAACACAGGCATTGCTACGACCTTCATTAACAAGGCCTGTGGTGAGTCAGAGAGCCAACTCATCTGTCCCCCAGGTCCTCCACCTGTGGCTTCCCAGGTTCTGACTGTGGGACCCAGGGTAGGGCTTGATGGTTCTTCTTTCCCCCTAGATGAGTCAGTGCTGATGGATCTCAAGGCCCTGCTGCTAGAAGCCAAGCAGAAGGTGCCACCTGTACTACAAGTGCTGCACCCTGGGGACGAGTCCATGCTGGACATTGGAGGTGAATGCTGAGCAGGCGCAAGTTCTCTGGGGTTGGGGGCAGAATACCACAAAACAAATCCATACTAGATATTGGTGGACTAGGGGGACCTAACTGGGAGAGGGGAAAAGGTCCAGGGCCTGGATTCTGACCCTGTGATTTTGCTAACCCTGCCCCATCCCTCCAGGAGAACGTGGTTGTGCCTTCTGTGGGGGCCTGGGCCATCGGATCACTGACTGCCCCAAACTTGAGGCCATGCAGACCAAACAGGTCAGCAACATTGGCCGCAAGGACTACCTGGCCCACAGCTCCATGGACTTCTGAGCCGTCTGTCTTCCCTTCTTATCTCCAAGAGGCCTCAGTTCCAGGACTCAGCCACCCTGTGTGCACACAGACACCAGCCCCGTGGACAAGAAGCCAGCATCTTGGCCCAGCTGGCCTGGGCTGTTCCTTGTACCCCAGCCACCCCAAAATTACTATTTTTGTTCTTCCCTTCAGCTGTCATTAAAGCACAAGCCCCCTCTCTCAGCCCCAGCCCTGCCTCTGTGTCTCTGCCGTCAGCCCTCCGAATCCTGGACAGGCCTCGCCTTCCAGCCTCCAGCAGCCCTCCTACTCCCCCTCCCAGCACCTACCCTCATGTTGGCTATGGAAGGAAATGCCAGTCAGTGTCCCTCCTGGGTGCTCAGAGGTGTGGGGACTATGAATCACAGGGGGGCCAAGGGGAAACAGCTGAGCCTCTGGTCCCCCTGGCTGGCTGGCTTAACTGTCAGCCTCTCTCTTCCTGTCAATTTATGTTGCTCTGGGGGCTTCTGGAACCCCTTGGCAGGCTGCTTCCTGCCTTTGCCCGTGCCTGCCTGTGTGTATTCCCTGTCAGAAACACTCAGTTCCATTCACCGAGAAGGCAGCAGATACCACAGGACTGCCAATCAGGCCACAAGCACCCTACGGGGGCTGCAAGAACCCAGACAAGCCTGGCAGAAACCTGCCTGGAAAGCCCACAGGAAGGCAGGAGATTCATATGCAAGTAAAGGTCGGTCTCCATCATAAGACTGCCAGCAGATCAATGAGGATTTTAATATCTAGCAAGAGGAGGGCGGAGGAACAGTACAGCAGTAGCTGTGTATTGCACAGTTCCTCTGCCAGGAACTTCGTGAGCAAGGCCACATGCTTATCCCAGGAGGACGGTTCTTGCTCAACCCTGTTTGTTGCTTTGTGTGTGGCCTCCAACAAGTTACTTAATATTTTTGAGCCTTGATTTCATAATTTTTGAAATTGCGATGAGAATGCAAAGGATGTGGTGTTTGAGGCTCCTAAAGCTCAGGGCTATCTGGACTACAGTGGGCACAGAACCAGGTACTAGAAGGCCCTAGAAGATCTATTCTGGCCAAATGTGACCCCCAAAGAGCATTCTTCAGTTTGGTTACAGCATTCTTTCTGGAGGTTGCTTTGAATGACATGGGACTGTCCCTAGAATTCTGATGCACACACAACCCCAATACTAGTCTCCAGCAAGGCAAGGCAAGAATAAAAAGCCAGGCACCTGACAGGAAGCAAAGCTTTAAAAGAGCATGTGACCTCCCTGGGGAGCCCACTGGGGGCCTACCACCACACTCACATGGTTAGGGCCCGTTAGGGGTGTGGATCCCATGAGGACTGGCTGCCTAATAGGAGGACTGCTGTGCTCTCAAGACTAGTGACCAGGCAAGGCCGCCAAGAGGAGGAGGCAGCCTATTGCCCCAAGCAGCACAGTGGTGAGGGGTTCCCTGGAGGGGTTGTTCTGTGGGGAAATGAGGCTCAGGGGAAGTGAAGGCCAGAACACAGAAGCCCCTGAGTGCTGGGGAAGAGGAAAAGCAGAGTTGGTGTGGGTTGGTGGAGAGTCAGATGGGCCCAGGTGAAGCAAGGGCTATGAAGATGGGGAGCCAATGAAAATTAGAAATATTCCAGACAGAAGTAGAGAGGACAGGGTGAGACAGTCTCAGGCAAACCTAATGGTACAAACCAGGACTTGGTGGAGGGCCAGGAGTTCACCAGTCTGGTGAGAAGAAGGTCCCAGGCTAGGAGCAGACTGTGCAGCACCGGGTCCCAAGCTGCACAGCTGGCCCGATGGGGGAAGCATTGGAGCTCATGACTCAGGGCAGCCAGGCTGTGGTCAGTTGCTCATATCCAGCTGACCCAGATGCCAGCATAGGGGTCACTTGCTCTCAGGTGGCCTGAGGCTCTCGAAGGCAGACATAGACACTTTGAGCTGGCCAGAACCCCTAAGAAGAAGAATGTACTGCCCCTCAATCCCTTAACTGAGGACGACTCCCCTCCCCCTCGCCGCAGCTGCCTCTCTGGACCAAGGGAGGGGGAAGTGGCCAGAAGGGGAAGTGTGAGGAGTTCCCCTCCAGCCTTTCACCAGTCTCCTCAGGTCTTCGGAACAGAAGGCCTCGGGCCCAATCGTGGCCATGGAGCCCGTGGAGACTCCCGTCAAGGATGGCATTCTCTACCAGCAGCACGTCAAGTTTGGCAAGGTGGGGACCCCTGGCTGCCAGATTGCTGCCCAGGACTAGCGGTAGGCAGAGAAAGGGGCCTCTGCCCCAGCCCTGGATAACCCACCTGGACCTGGGAAAACTGGGAAGGGAGTCAGGATGGGAGATGGAACAGAATTTCTTTTTCTTGCAGCATTAGGAATTGAGCTCAGAGGCATTCTGCCACTGAACTACACCCCTAGCCCTTTTTTATTTTATTTTTATTTTGAGATAGGGTCTCACTAAGTTTCAGAGGCTGGCCTCAGATTAACTATCCTCCTGCCTCAGCCTCCTGAGTCGCTGGGATTACAGACATACCGTATGGTATGCGGCTGGAACCCAGGAATTGGGGAGCAGAATAAAGTCCTGTTGTCTGCCTGAGAAGGTTGAGGCTGAACAGGCTTTTGAAACCCTGTCTTATTTTAGAGATGGAGTCACCAAGATGAGGGAAGGGTCTAAGAATCAAAACCTTTAGGCAAAGCAGAGCCAAGCAGCCTTCTGACCCATCTAATAGTGAACTGTTACCCATGGAAAGGGCCAGGGGCTGAGCTGAAGGAGCCCCTGGAGGTAGAGCCACGCCCTACAGTCAGGGCTGGGCCCCAGCTCTTCCGTGGGCCTGGCCCTGTACCCCACAACTCAGCTGCAGCTGCTGCTCAGGCAGATAAGTAGTCTGTTTCCTTTGTTAGAAGTTATTTGCATGTTTCCTTCCTAGCCATCATGAGGCTCAGGCCTCCCAGCTTCACCCCAATGTCTTTTTTCTCTTTCTTTGTGTGTATATGTGAGGGTGGGGGGGGCGACAGGTGGGCAACCAACATAACAGCAGTGTGCCCAAGACACTAGATACTCTACAGACGTAGTCCAGTAGAAGACCAGCCTCACATTCTCACAGCCTCTTGAGAGACGAGGACACTGGGGCTATGGAGGTCACAGGAAAGGGCATGGTGGATTTGAACCCAGGGCTGACTGAACCCAAATACAGACTTTCCCCCGTGCCTGGCCCAGCCCTGGCAAGATCTCCTTCCCTAGCACCTGAAGACTTGTGGGAGGGAGAGGCGAGACTGGGTAGACAGGAGCAGTTGCTGAGTAGCTTGTGCTTAGCCAAGTGGTAGGAAGAATCTGCCACCTAAGAGTCTCTTCCCCAACCCTCTCTCCCACAGAAGTCCTGGCGGAAAGTGTGGGCTCTGCTGTATGCAGGAGGCCCATCAGGCGTGGCTCGGCTAGAGAGCTGGGACATTCGGGATGGTGGCTTGGGGCCAGCAGGGGACAGATCTTCAGGGCCTGGCAGGAGGGGGGAGCGGAGGATCATCCGCTTGGCTGACTGTGTGTCTGTGCTGCCGGCTGATGGTGAGAGTTGTCCCCGGGACACTGGTGCTTTCCTGCTCACTACTACCGAACGAAGCCACCTGCTGGCTGCACAGCACCGCCAGTCCTGGATGAACCCCATCTGCCAGCTGGCCTTCCCGGTGAGTACAGGATGGGTGCGGGGGGGTGGGGTGGGGGGCGGGGCAGTCCAAAGCCCAGCTGGTGGGGAACCACATCACCCTGTGCTTGCTTATCTCCTTTCTCAGTTTACATCCTGTCACTCGATAAGCATTGCCAAGCAACTGCAAGGCTGGGAAACAGCCCAGAAACCCATAGAAGGAATCTCAGATGTCCGTGCCGGTTTAAAGAAAGTGAAACTCTGGGATGGAACTGGAATAAATGGAGGAACTTTAGGCAGAATGGTCAAGGAAGGCCTCTCTGAAGAGACAGTGGGCCTGATTCTTCAATAACAAATAAAAGCCCACCAGGCAAAGGCCAGAGGAAAGGCCAGGCAAATACAGTAACATGAGGAGTGTCGTGAATGAGGGGGCAGTATGGGCAAAGGTCCACGGGCAAGAAAAAGTGGTGTGTTCACCACAAAAGGGACAGAGAGAAGACTGGTGTGGCTGAAGGTAGAGATCAGGAGGAGCGCAGGAGGTAGAGAGGTCGGAAAGCTCACTGGGAGCCAGCTGAAGCCACTTTGGGCTACCTGTGGGATTTGGGATTTGTGTCTGAATCAGAGAAGCCTTTGGAGGGTTTAAGCCAGACACTGATGTTTGTAAAGATTAGCTTTTTCAACCGATCTTGATGGACCAGAACAAAATGTCTGGTGATTCCTCAAAAAGTTAGTCATGATGCCAGGCAGAGTGACACATGCAGGAGGCTAAAGGATCTCAAGTTCAAGGCCAGCCTCAGCAACTTACACCCTAAGCAACTTAGCAAGATAATCTCAAAATAAAAAATAAAAAGGACTGGAGATGTGGCTCAGTGGTTAAGCACCCCTGAGTTCAATTCCTGGTACCAAAAAAAAAAAGTCAGTCATGAAGTTATCATATGACACAGCAACTCTACTGCTCAATATATATCCAAGAGAACTGAAACAGCTATTCAAACAAAATGTACACATGGATGTTCTTGTCAGTATTATTCACAGTTGCCAAAAACAACCCAAATGGCCATTCCCTGATGAATGAATAAACAAAACATGTTCTATCCATATAATGGAATATTATTTAGCCATAAAAAATGAAGCTCTGATAACATGCTACAACAGGAATGAGAATTGAACACATTAAAGAAGCCAGACACAAAGACCACATATTGTATGATTCCATTTACACGAGAGGTCTAGACTAGGCCAATCTATGGGACAGAACGTAGATTGGTGGTTTCCAGGAATTATGAAAGAGAGAAATGGGGAGTGACTGCTAATGAGTAAAGGGTTTCCATTTGGGGTGATGAAAAAGTTCTGGAATTAGGTAGTGGTGATGGCTGCACAATCTTGTAAATATAATAAAAACCACTGCATTCTGTGCTTTAAAATAGCTAAAATGGGAATTTTATATTCCATGTATTTTGTTACATTTTTACCTTTTTTAAAGGAACAGGATTAAACAGACAAGTGAGGAAGCAGTTGCATTTGACCCTAGCCATTCTCCCATGGGCCAAAGTGGTCATGGTGGAGGTGCCAAGAATCAAAAAGAACATGAGGACCTGCTAAAGAACTAGATGTGGGATGAGGGATAGGAAGGGTCAACAGCCACTGGTTGGTTCACTCTTATGTGCTGCCCCTGAGGCTCTTACCCGTCACTGCTCCAAGCTATTAGAGACACCTACAAGCCAATCAAATCCAAGGCCAAGCTCAGGGGCTATGGGGTCATCCTCTTGTTTGCACAGTGATTTATAGCTGTTAGACACCTGTAAGCACAGCTCCCCCTTCCCCAGCTCAGCACCCTCAAGAGAGAGCCCAGTGGGGACTGCCACCCTATCATACAGGTAGGGAAATAGCCTCAGAGGGGTATCTAGAGTCAGGCAGTTTATCAAGGGCACAACTGGGACTATCACCTGGGGCCCCAGATGCCCTTGCTTGTAGCAAAATCCAGGGGTGTGGACCCCTTGGGAGGGGTGGGGAAGAGAAGCAGGTAGACTCTAACCTCTGACTTGAGCCCACTCCCCAGGGCACAGGGGAGTGCTCCTCAGGACCAGGAGAAGCTGAGTCGCCCAAGAGGGGCCTCGTCCCCATGGAGGAAAATTCCATCTACTCTTCCTGGCAGGGAGGTGAGTCACGGGAGGCCCTGGGGCAACCTCAGCCCCTCCCACCCAGGATCTTTGGGGGACTGACAGGGTACCCTCTTGCCTGCCTACAGCGAGTGAGTTTCCAGTGGTGGTGCAGAGGACTGAGGCTGCTGTCCGCTGCCAGCTAAAGGGACCCTACCTCCTGGTGCTGGGCCAAGACACCATCCAGTTGAGGGGAACTGCCAGCCCCCAGGTCCTCTACAGCTGGCCCTACCACTTCCTGCGCAAGTTTGGCTCTGACAAGGTGAGGTGCTGGGTGGCTTCCCCACTTCCGCAGGTCCCTACAGGGAAGGGCTAGAGGCTGACCCCTCAGCCCCTGACCCCTACCCATGTCCCTGTGTCTAGGGCGTGTTCTCCTTTGAGGCTGGCCGCCGCTGTGACTCAGGCGAGGGCCTCTTTGCCTTTAGCAGCCCACGTGCCCCTGACATGTGTGGGTCTGTGGCTGCTGCCATCGCCCGCCAACGGGAACTGCTGCCAGAACGGGCTGTGGCCAGGCCTTGCCCCCTGCCTCGCGCCACCTCCCTTCCCTCCTTGGACCCCCCTGGGGAGCTTCAGGAGGTGTCACCAGGGGCTGATCTGCCCACCTGCAGAAGGGCACCTGTGGTCGATCCTGGGCCCCAAAGCCTACCGTTACTACTGGGCCCTGCGCCTGAGGAGCCGGTGTCCGATCTCTACGCCTCTGTGTGCAAGCGTGCCAGTGGACCCCCAGCCACCATCGAACACCTCTACGAGAACGTGTGCCTGCTGGAGGCCAGTCCTGGACTGCCCAATGGGGGCCCTGAGCTCCAAGAGAGCCTTTCTGGCGGCCACAGCCCCGTAGCCAGCCCCATCTATCACAATAGCGAGGACCTGAGCTGGTCCGGCCCCACCCATGACAGCAACCTTGAGGCTCAGTACCGGCGACTGCTAGAGCTGGAGCTTGATGAGGCAGGTGGCACCAGCCGCTCCGGCAGTCAGGCAGGCTTCAAGGCCAAGCTGGTGACACTGCTGGGTCGAGAGCGGAGGAAGGGTCCTACTCACTGTGACTGACCCTGAAGACCTGGGCAGGATAGAGGTGCTCCTGGGACAGGAGGGTGGGCAAACTCCTGTCTACTCTGGCTTGCAGGAGCAAAGTAGGCAGCCTGGGAAGGATTCACACCCTGCCCTGTGTGTCCCCCAGTGTACAGTGTACAGATTAACCAATAAAGTGCCAGCTACCCCTCAGTTTTGCCTGTGGCCCACGCTCCATACCACCTCACTTCAGCCCCTGGCAGTGGCACTTGAGGGTCCCCATGAACATAAAAACCCTCACATTCATTGCACCAAACACCAATGTCCTGTCCTCCAGGGACACAAATGTCCTAGACCTGACTTCAGCTACCAGTGGGCTCAAATCCACTGAAGCAAATGGATGTGATGGCAATAGTTTGGGTTCCATTTGTGCAGTAGGAATGACATGAACAGTCAGGTGGAGGGAGACAGGAAGCTTGTTGAAGAGGGAGGTGCCCTCTGCCTTGAACTGGAGGGGCAGGCAGGGCCCACCAGGTGGATAGTGAGCCCAGGCCTTCCAAGCTGAGAACAGATATGCATGGGCCTGAGATGATGAGGAAGATGTGGACACAGAGGTACTTTGGGTGCCCTGTGGTGAGCTGGGTCTCATTATCAGGGGAGGGACATGGTCAGACTCAATGTGGAGACTGCATTTGAGGGGGCAAAATTGGAGACCAAGATGCCCAAGCTGGGAAGGAGGGAGTGGGGTTCGGAGGATAGTAAGGAGCAGATAGAAGGGATTTCAATGATGTATACACCCAAACACTTGTTCCCCGCAGCAACAATATACAGATACTTCTGGGGGACTTCAGGCCTCAGTTTGCTCACTGTAAAGGATCAAGACTAAATTAGGGGCTAGGTTTGTAGCTCAATGGTAAAGCACTTACCTAGCACGTGTGAGGCACTGGGTTTGATCCTTAGCACCACATAAAAATAAATTTATAAAGGTATGTGTCCATCCATAACTAAAAATAATTCTATAAAAAAGATTAAAATACATGTGGGCCAGGGTATGGTTCAGTGGTAGAACTCTTGCCTAGAATGTGTAAAGCCCAGGGCCAGCACTGGAAAAAAAATTACATATTAGACTTATGCATCAGAATTTTACTGTACCAGAACACTGTGGGACAAGGCCATGTTCACAGCTTTAGTCCTGTTCTCAAGGAGCCAACATTCCAGAGAGAGAGAGAAGCACATTTCTAGAAGGCTTTAGTCCTTGCTTTCTCCTTCTCTCCTCTGCTACTCCTGCTGACAACCTTGGGACCATCCATGCATACAATGTAATCCCAAGGATATGGCCTCTTTGTCTCTTGACTTCAATTCTATCTCAGCTGCCCTTGGCACATCTCGAATCTTGTCTTCAGACAGTAACAAACCAGTCTTATTTCCACCAAAAGAAAGATTTTAAAAAAGGTGTTGAATAAGCTGAAAAGCTGAGGGAGTCCAGACCCTGGATTCCATCCTCAGCACCACATAAAAATAATTAAAATAAAAGCATCCTCTTCTGGCCACTCCTCTCCCTCCTTCAAGCTTACTTCCTCTAGCATAGCCAATATTTCCTTTCCAGCCACAATGACCTACAGGGATTCTTTTCTCATGATCTGTAAGGTCCCTGTCTACCTTCTATCCTTGTCCCCCTTCAATTTCACCCGCAGAGGCATTTCTCACTCTCTTGTCTCTTTCCATCTTGTTTGACTGGCAAAGCCCCCAGCCTCAGGGGAACCCAACTTATTACTGTGCCTGTTCTCTGGCAGCTGCCCACAGTTGGAGAAATTCACATAAGCAGGCTGACTGCCTTGTGACACAATATTATCGCTGGCTCTCGAGGCTGCCCTCAGATCCTGTGTTGTACATAGATGGCTTTTCTCTTCCCTGAGACCTTCAATCCTTCTGCTCTCCATTCCTTCCCATTTCCACCTCACTGATGAAGTGGGACAACAGCCATCAATAGAAGTGAACTTTCCACCACCTTCAGTCTTCCACCACTGCACTAGCAAAGGGGCCAGCGTCTGCATCCATCTTCTCCTGTTCCTACAGTGGAAGAAGTATCTGTCCCCAGCCATGTGCTCTGCCCCCAGCTTTTCTCAGTTTCTCAAAGGCTGGCACACCAAGATGTCACCTTTCTCTTCAGTTAAATTAGTCTCTCCCCCTTCCCACCTACTCTCTCTTTAGAGTTGGGGACTGAGCCCAGAGCCTCAGTCAGTGACTTAGACAGTGACTCTATGACTGAGCTACACTCCCAGCTCCCCTTTCTCTTCTGGAGCCATCCATTATTGCTGTCGTCGTCATCATCACCATCATCATCATCATCTCCAGCCACATGCAAACATGGTGTATCATTTCATAACTTAAAAGAAATCTTCCCTTGGGCTGGGGTTGTGGCTCAGTGGTGGAGTGCTCACCTGGCACGTCCGAGGTCCTGAGTTCAATCCTTAGCACCACATAAAAATAAATAAAATAAAGGTATTGTGTCCATCTACAACTAAAAAATAAATATTAACAAAAAAGAAATCTTCCCTTGACCTCATATTCCCCTTTAGCCACCTCCCCATTTGCTCCTCCTCACAGTGAAACTCCTCAAAAGGGTTGTTGATTACTCTCATTTCCACTTTCTTACCTCCCATTCTCTCCTTAACTAACTACAATTTCCCTTTCTCCCCACCACTCCATTACACGGTTCCTACCACAGTTGCCAACCATCTTGCTCCCCAAAACAAAAGTACCCTGAACTCCCTCAGCTTCTCAGCTTATTCAATACCTTTTTTATCGTTCTTTTGGTGGTGGTGTTGGAGATTGAACCCAAGACTTCACACGTACTAGGCAAGCACTTTACCACTGAGCTATATCCCTAGCTTGACACCCTTTCCTTTTTATTTATTTATTTTTATGTGGTGCTGAGAATGAAACCCAGTGCCTCCCACATGCTAGTCAAGCGCTCTATTGTTGAGCCACAACCCCAGCCCTTGACACCTTCTGTTCACTCAGTTTTTCTCCTCCTATCTCATGGTCTCTCCTTCCTAGATGTTTTTTTGGGGTTTTTTTTGTTTGTTTGTTTGTTTGTTTTCAGTGCTGGGATCAAACCCAGGTCCTTACACCATCTTGCACCCTATTAGGCAACTCTCCACCACTAAGCTATGTAGCTGGTCTCTTTGTTCTCCTCTTTGTTAAAGTTCTTCCCCAGGGGTCTGGCCTCAGACACAGCGTAGCTCAAGTTTGGCTACACATAGAATCACCTGGAAACCTTTGAAAAATTCCTACATTCATCCCCAGGGGCTCTGATTTCATCAGTCTGGTAACATGGGATCTAGGCATCAGTATTTGGCTTTTCAATTTCTGGGTGATTGTGGTATGAATCCTAGGTCAACAACCACTATCCTGAGTCAGTAAATCATGCATAGATTTCATATACATGAAATGTAGATTTCATATTTTAGGCCACCTAAGTGCAGATTACTCCCAAAGATATATCTTTAGTACACACCCCTGAGCTCCAGATTTAAGAATCTAATTACACATTAGATATCTGGATGTTTAAAAGTCATCTCCAGAGCTAGGGTAGAACACTTGCCTACCATGTATAAGAATCTGGGTTCTATTCCCAGCACTGCCAAAATACAAAAGGCATTTCCAAATTTAATGTATGAACGGAAGTTTGGGGAAAGAGGTCTGCATGCAGTGCTGCCCCAGGGTGGATTTAACCACAGAGGGTAAAGCCCAGGAGAATGTTGGAGCCAGGTGTAGGCAGATCTAGCGTCACTTATGGAAAATTTCCTGACAGGTAAAGGCTTCACATGATTGAGCAGGCTGCCATGGAGCAAGGTGAGGCCAAGAGTTGTGGCAATATCAGGGACCCCTCCTTTCAGTGACAAATCCAGGGCTGGGGCTGGGGCTCAGCAGTAGCACACTTTTCTGGCATGTATGAGGCACTGGGTTCGATTCTCAGCACCACGTATAAATAAATAAAATAAAGATCTATCAACAATTAAAAATAAAAAATAAAAAAAAAAATCTAAGTCCAGGACTTGGCAGCTTAGAAAATCCCAGGATAGTTGGGCATGGTGGCACATACCCATAATCCCAGCAACTCAGGAGAGACCCTGTCCCCAATCAAATAAAAATAAAAAGGGTCAGGATATAGCACAGTGGTAGAGCATCCCTGGGCTCAATCCCCAGTACTACCAAAAAAAAAAGAAGAAAGAAGAAAGAAGAGGAGGAGGAGGAGGAGGAGGAGGAGGAGAAAATCCTAGAACACACGAGTTACCCAGAAAAGGTCATGACCACAACTGGAACTCAGGACTCTGGGTCTCCAGTCTGGCATCCTTTCCCTCATTACAAATCTAAGCCTCTTTGTTACTTGGCAATTTCTGTGATTTTCAAACCAGACTTAGGAAAAGTCCTTGGAAACCTCCAGGATTCTAGAAGCCTTGTCTTGGAGTTGCAGTTCTTCCCAGCAGGGGGCACTGTGTCCTAGTCCAGCTCCTGTTCCTACTCAAGGGCTGCCTGTGCTGGGAAGGATATGCAACTCCATCCAGGCCTGAACCTTGCACTGACCCAAGGAAGAGACCTCAGGGTCCTCTCTGCTGAAAGACTTCCAGGACCCATCACCCAGGCTGCCACTTCTTCTTTGCTCATTTGCTGTTTCACTTTTGCAATCCTTCTTTCCTTCTTTCATCTGTTCATTCACATTCACCATGTATAGGCAATAGGGAAATGCTGGTGAACGAGACACAAATCTCTGCTCCCATGGGACTGACATTCTAATGGGAATAAAGGATGATAAACAATATCATGTGAGAGGGTGGAAAGTGCTATGCAAAAAAATAAATCTGTGCAAAAAAAAATTAGGGAAGGTCCCTTAAAGGCGGAAATATCTGAGCAGAGCACAGTGGAAAAGACTGTTGTTTACACATTTGGAGAAAAGTATTTAAGCAGAGGGAATAGTAAGTGCAAAGGTCCAGGAAAGTGCAGGAATATACTTGGCATGTTGGAGGAACAGCAAGGAAGCCAGAGTGGCTCCAACAGAGTGAGCAAGTAGTGGGAGGGTTGACCTGCTTTCTTAGTGTTGTGTAGGTATAACGATTTTAGTTTTATTTTAAGTACAGTGTGATTCCATTGGAAAGCTAAAAGCTGAGGTGTGATTTCTGCCTTAAAAATATCACTTTGGGTTGGGTGTA